TGTAGCACTTTCCGTAGTATGTGTGATGTTCCCAGGATAGCTGTTTTTTGCAGTGAATCTATGGAGTGCTTTCCAGGAATTAGTTCCAAATATTTTCTCAACCCTCTCGTGACTGTACCCGTGGCTCCAATAATTACTGGTATCACAAAACATTTCATGTTCCACATTCGCTGAATTTCGATGCTTAAATTTTTATATTTTAATTTCTTCTCTGCTTCTTTTTGTACTACATTCCTATCCGATGGTACTGATACATCTATAAGTATGCAAGTTTTCTTTTGCTTGTTTTTAATTATTATTATTATCATCATCATCATCATTATTACTATTATTATCTACAGTTGTTGCTTGTTTGTTTTGTTCTGTGCTGTTACATTGCTGTAGTTTTTATTCGTTTAACTCTGTAATTGGCCATTGGCTGTTGAGCTCAGCGCGTAAACAAGTAATGTAAATAAATATTATTATTGTTGTTGTTGTTGTTGTTGTTGTTGTTGTATCATCACGGTCGGCCCGTCCATAAGACAGGCCTGGGCCGGGCTTCACCGGTGGTGTATGGAATATAGTTTATGGCTTTCTAATTTATCTACATTTTGTATGGCATGAAAGTATTTTAAAAACTTCGAAGAGATGTTCCTTGGGTTTCAAGTAGTGACGGGTCTTCCCTCACGAACCCTATCTTCAGCTCACTTTTCGTTTAAGGTTATTTCCTCTTGTTCGTGGCGCAGGAAGTGTAATGCTTTCCTCTCTCAAGGTAGATGACTTGTCACTTGAGCCAGCACATGTCCTCATAAAATACTGTGAGTATTCGTGCATCGTACACTCGTGTGAACATCTGGTATTCCCTTACCTCTGTAGATAATGAATGGTTTCGGTCACACCGCGAGAAAATCATGTAACATTTTAGGTTTCTCGTGTTCTTATTTTGTGTGACTGAAAGGAGTATGTGGTTAGCGTGTGTCTGTTGTGATTATACGTGTTTATTACGTATTATTGTTGTTGGTCGAATGACAAATCTGTATGACTAGGGTTAAAAGTTGTTTTCACGCCAGAGGATCGAAGAAAAATTAAACGTTCATTCATGAAATGTTCGATTATAGTAAAGAAACCTAATGAAGGAAGTACAATGGTACAAATGCATTGCTGATGTTGATTTTTCTTCTATGTTCCCGCAGGAGAGTATCATTTTAATGCTGGTACTAAACAGAAAAGAAGTAGATGATGAAGTGTCTAACTGAATTCAAAGATATTTTCCATGCGTCACAAAATTTGTCGCTGTAAGTATCAAAGAACCCAGGGAAATATGTGGGCAGTTTAATCCGACCGGCTGCATAGAGACAGGCGTCTTTTATACGCGCTGAAGCGCCTATTAGCAGCTGTCTGCCGTACACACTGACCTGTGGGCGGTAGGTGTCCAAATTCGTCCTCCGTGTTGTGTGTACCAAGAGGGGCAAAGTGTTCAACCTAAAGTTACAGATGGCGTAGTGCCTTAGTTTAAGATATCCTAATCAACACAAAATAAGCTTGTAGCTGCTAAGCAGCAGGCACTATATAAAAAAGCGGAATTTAACGATACGAATATTTGAGTAAGAATACAAAATTTCACTGTTTTCTTAAAACTAGTAATTGGAATTTCATACCTCTTCAGGCGGTCACGAGCCGCCACTGAGCACCGTTATAGCGATATGAAGTTTATTTATTTCTTTACTTTCAAGCACTAGAGCCGGCGTATCGCTACTCTGCCAGAACGTTTACCTGGAGCCGTGTTCACTGTTTTCCCATAATATTGCTTATGACTGAAAGAATGCATTTCACTCACCTGTCAGCAAGACTGCCCCAAAAGGGTGCGGACAGGAATTCGACAAACGGCCGAGACCCTATCAGCAAACCACACTGTCCTGGGTTCATGCCCATCTGCTTGAAGTAGACCCCCATTAACGGGAATAAGGAACCGAAGGCCGAGTAGAAGAAAAAGTAAAACGTCTTGACAGTCAAGAGTTCGGAGTCGACGGCTCCACAGAGAAATTCTATGATGTCGGAGCGGCCACGAATCTTGTGGGTGGATTCTTTAGGTTGTGGATACTTCTCCGGGTCCACATCTCCTAAAGCATCAGGGTCCACCATAGGACGTATTCCTGGTGTTGCCATTGGGATGCGTGGTTGCGCATCCTCTTCACTAACCATCCTATCCATCCCAACCATTGTCACCACTGCTTGCTGGACCACTGTCGGGGCTTCAAGACAGCGGCTCCGACAGTGGAGATCAATACCGCAGCTCTACCCACATCCCCAAGAATGGGTCAGACCGGCTCCAGATCAATACGTGCACCCACGCATTCACTACATATGCTTGTGGCCTATTTTCCATTACTTTTTCTTTACCCAATAGAATAGAAAACAACACGTTACTTTCAGCATTTATTATAAACTGGAGTACAGCCATTATAGCGACTGTTTGCGGGCTGGAAAGCCAAGGGATCAGGGTTCAACACGAGGCGAGAGTAATAGATTTTTCACTTCCCCACATCTTCCAGACCTGCGTTCTTGCATGTTTCACACTTCCTCGTGTATAAACATAATTGATTGCAGATGAAAATTATCAGCCTGAAAACAATAAAGTTGCTTTCTGTTTTCTGTAGTAGATTATTTCTAAGCTGGGAGTCGGGATAGCTCAAATGGCATGGTAACTGGGCTATGAGTTCGAGGCTCGGGGTTCAATTACGCGCAGGAGTGACATATGATCTCTTCTCCACGGCATCCACACTGGCTCTGGGGGTCCATCCAGCCTCTATATAATAGGTACCGGGAGCTCTGTCTTCTAGGGTAAAGCAGCGGGAGCATAAAACAGATACCTTCCGCTATCCCGTGCCGGGATTAAGAATACATGGATCTCTGGATGTTGGTGGTGTTGTAGTAAATGTTGAACCTTCCCGCCAATGTACTGTTAGTTTGGCTGTCGTGTGACAGATAGCGACAGAAGAGCAGTCTACCAAAATGGCGTTTGACATAGACGTGCGTACGAAACAGAGATGTGTTATTGAATTTCTCACTGCCGAAGAAATTGCATCCATTAACATCCATCGACGCTTGCTAAAGGTGTACGGAGACGATGTAGTGGATGTCAGCACAGTGAGGCGGTGGGTAGTGCGTTTCAACAGCGGCGAAAGTGAAGTGCACGATAAGACGCGCCCTGGGCGTCCCTGCTCAGCTGCCACTCCTCACAATGAACAGCGCCTCGATCAGCTCATCCCTACAGATCGGCGGATAACGACCAGGGAACTGTGTGCACGGCTTAAAATCGGCTGTAACGCTTTGGAAACGATGTTGGGGAAGCTGGATTATCGCAAAGTTTGTTCCAGGTGGGTCCCACGGATGCTTATACAGGACCAAAAACTCATCGAATGGAAGTCTGTCAGGACCTGCTGCACCAGTTTGAGGCTGAAAGTGACAAGTTTCTGGAAGACACTGTCACCAGAGATAAGACGTGGTGTCACCACAACGAGCTGGAATCCAAAAGACAGTCCATGGAGTCGTGACATCCGGATTCCCCAAGAAAAGAAGACGTTCAAGACACAGCCATCGGCAAGGAAAGTGATGTGCACGGTCTTTTGGGATAGGTGGGGTGTGATTTTGTTGGATTTCCTTGAGCCTGGTGAGACTGTCAATTCTGAACGCTACAAGACGACGCTGACTAAGCTGAAAGCCCGCATTTCTCTGTGTGCGTGCCACACGTATTAAAGAAAATCACTGCACGCACACAGAGAACCTGCACAAAATAATACGCGAGTTGTGCTGAAAGCAAGAGGTAGCCGCTGCAGCACATATAAGCATAGAGCAGGTATTTCTGTGATTTTGATTTTAAGTCTAAATTTAAATTAAAATAATAAAGCTAAATTGAGAATTTAAAATTTTAAATCAATCGACGCGTGAATATTAATAAAGATTTTAACATAACTGGCAAAATCGACAAGGAGAGTTCTGGAATATCGGGTGCCGATTGACGACAGAGCAATGAACAATTGGAAATCTGGAGTTTAAATGTTAATATTGAGTGCAGTGTGACAGCTACGTGAAGCGAAATACCCCTGACGATGGCCGGTTGCGGCCGAAACATGTAGTGTGAAAGAAGGGGGACAGGAACTACAATAAAATGTTACATTTACGACGGAGTTTATATTATTTTACATACAGAAGTATTTGGATTTGTCTAATACCCCATCGGATGACTCCCATGGACGGCCCAGCACGCTGTTTCTAACCACCAGGAAGCTCTACTGAGCCCAGAAACCCTTGTAGATGAGACTGCCGTCGGAATTTTCCTTTTACTCTGAACGCTCCCCAGCCTCTACGTCCCGCAGAATCGGCCCCATGACATTGCCATTCAGTTGCTCGTTCCTGAGGGGGGGGGGGGGGGGGGGCAATGTCCCAGCCATACGCGGCAGTAGCAACGATAACTCGTACCTCGGAGTTGCCAGATTCTCGTTCGACTCTCTTGCAGTGAGCGCGTGACTGAAAGTTGGGTCAGTTCGAATTTATCTGTATGCATGTGTCCATAGAGGTGCTCTTGGCTCTTGGTGGAAGTGATAGAAGTCTTCGGAACAACCAGTAACGCCCTTCCAGTTACCCAGTAGTTTCTATCAACTTCGAATGAAATCTTGCTACTGGAAGCTAGGACCTGACATCACCACGTTGCTCGCACCTGTGTCGTCATTCGTCTTTTTAAGTTCTTCTTACAATTTGTCTTAGCCGGCGATTACGTACTTATTAAGTTATTCTTGACAATCCAGTTCGTGTTGGCTGCAAATCATGCCCAGTTTTAGTTTCTAACCGTTCCGAAATCGCTTGTAAAATTTTTATCTCTCTATCCGACCTTTGACACCAGTTGTTATGTTTATCTTGTTTTCGATTGACTATTTACAGTTGGTTAATTACAGTTCTGACGTTGTTAACCGCGTCTTGACTTAATACCGCTACACTGTCTTTTCATATTCATTAAATTTCATCTGACGCTATGTGACTCATTATTAAGATTATCATCTTACTGCTTCACCTCATACGAACGCTGCACGCCGCTTCTGAGTTCAGACGGACTCACCACACCAATTCCACTCAATTTTCTTCCCACGCAGAATATTTCTGAACCTTCGCGGAGGATCTCGGTCAACATCTATCTCTTCTGCCTTCAGAATGTCCCAGTAGAGCAGCCGTGTCAAACATGCGGCCCCCGTAGCCACAAAGTGCGGCCCCTCAACTTTTAGAGCTAATTGATATTAAAATCAATATTAAAATTTTAGTAGAAATATTTTTTGTAAAGACAATTTTCCAACAGACCAGAAGACAAGAAGTCTCACGCAGACATAAATTAGCAGGCTGCAGGAAAAGTATTCTGAGAATTGCAGAAGGGTTTGTCCAACTAACGGTTTGTAAAGTTCGTGAAGGACAAACTATTGTATTTCAGAAGGTTAATGTACTAAAATCCGCACAGCCTCACCACCCCAAGTATTTCCAAGAATCCCTTTTGGAGGCGTAGTAAGAAGGCAAGGAGGGTGGCAACTGACAGACAAGTGCGAGGGATTTCTACCTTCAAAACTAGCTTGCAACCCGCAGCCATTGTCTAATGGGCTGCTAGCAAACTTAAACTTTTATGACCATTGAGACAAGATATACCTTCCTACTAGACCGGTAGTCTCTTGTGCATTGTCATTTAGTTCATTTTCACACAGCGACAGGTGCTGATGTTACATTGTGATGAACGTATAAAGGTTATAATTGAATATTAAATTATCAACGACGAGTATCAAAATCTAATATATATTTCTATTTTTAAGTGCAGCCCTGGACTATTATTTATAGGGCTGAGGTGGCCCTCTATACAAGTTGAGTTTGACATGCCTGCAGTAGAGTGAAAAGTTGCGGTGGTGCTGGAGAGTACCGTGCTCTCAACGCTTTATACCCGCCCCTCACCCTCGCTCACGTGACAGCTTATTTAGAATTGCAGATATTTTAACAGGCTTACGCAAATTTTTCGAAACGGCTGTCATTGGGTTTGTCGCAATTGTATGAAGCCGGAAAATAGTTTATGGTTATAAGATAAGACGGCACTAAGGCCCTGTCAGTCTTTTTCATTAGTTCTTTTCAAGCAAGAGATCAAGAAAAACTAAGGGCGACGACCCACCAAGGAAACTGGTAACTGCAAAGCAACCGCAATATCCGAGAATTGTTACCAGCCTGATTTCAACACATGTTATTGAATGGAGCAGCGCAAATTGAGCAAACTGCAACGCAACTCGGCAGGAAGACTAAGAAGCTCAAATTACAGACAACAGAGCACGCCAATCTTCTCACAATTGCGTTGCCGCGCGGTTTCCTAGCATCAGCTATTCTAAAACGAGGTTCAGTGAACCATTTGTTTCTTAAGATTGTATGAAAGGTTGACGAAGCTGCTAATTTTGTTTTTGTGCAGTTAATTGAGCACCCAGGCTATGCTAGGCAGGACAAAATAGACTTGGCTTGGGAAAGAATTTCTCATGAGACGAAAAGTCTGGATCCAGTTCAACTTCTTTCGAAACGCTTGCGTTTAAATTGTCGTAGAAGAACGTATGCACACAATGTTTTCTTTTCCTAATATTGTATTTAAGTATCCTGTTGCATCAATATATCATTTATTTCACATCTATTTCCGTCTTAAATACAACTTATTATATAATAATCCTTCTTCCACATTGCATAGTTCAGCTATATACGTCTTCTACCTTGCTAAAATTGTTACACTGTATGCCCTGTAAGCTAGGAGGAAGAGAGGTAACCTCTCATCCCAGTCCCTCTGGTGGGATGCGACGGCATTCCGTAAATGTTCCTCGATGGTTTTAATGTAGCGTTCCACCATGCCGTCCGAACGCGGGTGCAGGGGCGTTGTGCGCATCTTGCTCACTCCCAGGCGTTGCAAAACTTTTTGTAGCAGACGAGACTCGAAGTTACGGCCTTGGTCACTATGCAGCTCTCGAGATATGCGGAAGCGGCAGAAGAAGTTGGTGACCAGAATTTCCGCTATTGTCGACGCCTCATAGTTTGGGATGTGGTAGGCTTCCGGCTATTTTGTGAAATAGTCCATTGCGATCAAGAGATATCGGTTTCCATGTTCGCTCAGCGGGAAGGGTCCAGCTACATCTATTGCTATCCTTTCGAACGGGGCCCTGACATTGTACTGTTGCATTTTGCCCCTGTTTCTGGTCCGTGGGCCACGGCTGGCTGCGCAGATGTCGCACTGTCGGCACCATTTTTCGATGTCGCTCCTTGCTTGGAGCCAGCAGTACCGCTGCCGAACCTTATTTAAGGTTTTATTGGCCTCTTAAGTGGCCTCCTGACGGTCCACTGTGTAGCTCGGTCAGCATGTCCTTTACCCTGCTCCGAGGAATAATTATCTGGGGTACTTGATATCGTCCGCTGGCGGATTCCCAGTTGCGCTCTAGTATGCCGTTTCTCACAGCGAGCCATTTCCACTGAGCCCAGTAGCTTTTGTATGCAGGACTCCGGTGCGATATCTTCCCACTCAGGTCGTTATCTGGTTTCTACTTCCTGTAGAATAGGCCCTGTGTCTGGGTCGTTTAACCGGGTCCCAGCCAGGTGCGGGTAGGGTTGCAATAGCTCGTATTTGCTTTAAGTCTGCACTTTTCTCGACTTTGTGGCAGTGCGTACACTGCTCTTGGCAGGGTCGCCTTGAGAGAGCTTCGGCGTTATTGTGTTTCCGGCCTTGACGGTGCTCGGAGGTAAAGTTATACTCTTGTAGGCGCTTCTTGAAGCTCATTAGCCAGGTTAGCGCAGAGTGGTCCATGCGGAGGTGGAACTGTTGCCTGTACAGGTACTTGTGGAAATGTTCCAATGACCTCACTATGGCGAGTAGTTCTCGTCGGGTGACGCAGTAGTTTCTCTCGGCTTTGCTTAGCGTCTTGCTGAAGTAAGCTATGACACGCTCTTGTCCGTCCTGTATCTGAGAGAGTACTCCTCCAATTCCGACATTACTCGCATCTGTGTCTACGATGAACCTCTCTCCTGGCTGGGGGTAGGCGAGAATAGGGGCAGCACATAGGGCTCCCTTTAGTGTTTGGGAAGCGGCCTCCACCTCTGGAGCCCACTGGAAGGCCTGTTTCTCTTATAATAGGATCAAAATACAGAATGTCTGCTAAAACAATGCAAACAACTATTATAATATGACCCGTGCTTTGTGATAAAAGTCAGCAGTTGGATTAGTCCTCACCCTTTACAATCATCAACTGAATTCAATTAATATATCTTCATTGGTTGCATCCTGTCTTGTGTTACAGATATACGTTTATAGGAATTATGCCACCGTCAACACAACAAATATTCAGTTTTATTTTTGATCATTATACTGCTACATGTTTCGGTCACATAAGACCATCATCAGGCAGTTGTACGTATAGTCAATGGAATACCGATATGGATCCTTATCGGTGCAACGCGTCGTGTTATGTACTGACATAAAACTCTTTACTTAAGTTGATGTTATAATAAAGTAGCAAATACATAAATAAGATAAAAGACTAATGTAAGGGTAGGCCGCGCCATAGCTCAAGCGGTTAGTCGCTGGATTCCCACCGCGGCGGCCAGGGTTCGATCCCGGGTCTGGTCAAGTGGGGTTTGTGGTGGACAAAGTGGCGCTGGGGCAGGTTTTCTCCTAGTACTTCGGTTTCCTCTGCCAATCTTCATTCCACAAATTGCTCCACAATCACCCTCACCTATTATCTGGGGCTGGTACAATAGGCCAGAAGTGGCCGCAGTACAAGGGACTTAGTCCGACTCCACTAGCAACTTAAAAAATGTAAGGGTATATCGTATATCAAGTTATAATGTGCTGAAATGCTATAAAAATATTAAAAGTATATTAAAAGATATATTAAAAGTGTTAAAAAAATGTGATTTTTTTTTCTCGATCATAGGTTAAGAATTGTACGCCAACTTAAATATCTCAAGTTTCACTGCTACAGTGTAGAGATTGGGCAGGTATGTGGTTTGTAGGTCTTATTGTAGGAGCTTTCTATGTAGTAAGCCCGGCTGTGAAACCCAACGACAAGTTTCTATGATGTACGAGTTGTGGTGTGTGGATACTGGTGTGCTATTCACACGATATGTATCTTTATATGATTGTACAGTATGGAATTTGTGTTCCTTGTCTGGGCGTGTATACGTTCTGTGTGTTCTACACTGTGCGGTGGTTCACTGTAGATCCAGAACCTTTTGTCTTCTCGTCTGCTGGCCAAAAACATAAAAATTAGAATATACAGAACTACACGTATAATTTTGCCTACGGTTCTGCTGGCACAGCCGTACGAAAATTTGTATCTTATCTTCGAATCTGAGGTCCTATAAGATCCACCAATAAAGAAAAATTTTCAGTGCTTATTCTGTAAAATTGTTTGAACAGTTCTGTGTCCTGATTAAATTCTTTCGAAACAATGTAAACACCCGAGTTTAAATAGTCGCATAAGAACGGGTGCACAAAATGTTTCCGTTTCTCCTGTCTTCTCCTCTTACGCCGTCTCAACCACCACCATATCATTACAGGAACAATATTATTATCTGAAACTGCAGAAGAGAAGTGCACGAAATTGGCGGGCAAACACACCCACTTGAGATTATTTGAGCAACTAATAGAACGCATTCCTCAATGTGCGCCTGCTAATTTGAAAACTAGTTGCCTGCTTGAAATCAGCGATAGTTCTCGGAAATCGCTGTTGCATTGCGGTTGCCAGTTTCCTTGGTGTGCGTCCGGCCTTAGATTCTCGAATCTTACGCTTTTTTGTCGAACTCATGCCAGAAAACTTTCCAGATGCCTAATAACAAAAATTCGTAGTTCGTTCACGAAACGCTTTAAACTGCTTCGACCGTTACAACAGAGATCAACTTCCTCACCTTGTAATAAAACTCAGATCCACACAGATCATAGACGACACCCCGGGCTACTAACACCGCTAAACACCCAAAAGTGCCGCCAACGAACGCCCTCACAACTGACTTAGCAGAACTAGAAACATGTGGCGTTGCCAACGGAGCATACAACTGCCATCTATACGCAGCCGATAGTCAAGAATACTGAAGCTGGTAACCCGTGGCAATGATTCGTGGTACTTTTGGTAAACAGCGTAAACTGTGACTTATACGGAGAATTGGTGAAAGAGAAATTCGGAAAACAAAACGTCAACTTTCTGTTGAAATTTTGTAACTTGCGAACTGTGTAAGTGATAAAATGTTATAAGTATGAAATTTTCCCCAACATTTTTTTGTCTGAATACTGGTTTTGGTTTATTTAATTATTAAGTAACAATGTCTTACTGACGAAACTTTGTTTAGCTGACCGATTTTTGAAGACAGGTTATAACAATAACTGCATTCTCATCAGATTATTGATATTTTCAGGTGTAACAGTAAAGTACAATCAGTTATGACATCCAACCTCTCAAAAAAGGACGTTGAAGAAATTAAGCCGTATGTGGATAGGACTGTTCAGAAGTTTTTGGGGTTTAGTGAGCCTTCGTTAGTCACAGCGGCATTAAATTGCCTTACCTCAGGGTATGATAAGCGGAAAACCTCAAGTAAGTACGTTAAAATTTAAGCTGAATACTGGAAATAAAAAGATTTAATGTGAGAAATGGATGAACTTTATTAAGCAAATAATCGGTAATAATAATAGTATGGGTGAGGCTGTTTCGTAGTTTAGGCACTCAGAAGAAGCAAGCTTCTCATTGGGTGCTGCGATTAGTCCCTTCATATGAGGTTTATGGGTTTGAAGTGGCACCGGAACATGTTCTCATAGTTTTTGCTGGTTTCCTCTGCTGGTCATCATTTGCTGTTGCTTCATATTCATTTGTCATTGCTTTTAAAGTAGTGTGATAGCACTGACCAGGTGCGACAGATTATCACATTGTCATTCTCAGTGTGGGATTTCATCTATGATATAATGCTGGGCTGATTGCAAAGGAAAGAGGAATATTTCTTTAATGATGTGGGACTACCATCTGATGAAGTGTAAGCAAGGTCCTCTAAAATGGGTACCCATTTTTTCCAAGTTGCAACACAGTGACATAACCCAGCAATATGTATTTCATCAAAGTTTGAGGTGAATGGGAAAGACATATATAAAGACCTTGTTTGTAAACAATGTAAGGAAGTAGAACAGTATGTTATTTTCACATTTTCTTGTCACAGCCTTACATTTTAGATACCTAACTATGCAACAACTAGAGGTTGTGCAAGTGTGTCTCTGCATATGATTGAATGTACGTACATATACTTGGATATTATTTTCCAGACAGAGGTCAAAGGTGCTGCCAGAAAAATTTACAGATCTCAACATTTGCTTTTGTGTCCAGCTGACAAGTTTCTCAGCAGTATTTGCTGCCCATGGCACAGTGCACATGCTTGTTTGCAGTTAATGTAATACATATAATAATACATAAAGAAATATATGTATGTGTCAGTTGAAATAGATTCAGTTTTAAGAGTAAGAAGTAACACTAAGAATTGCCATCAAAATAATCCTCAGAATGTTTTAAGAAAATGAATTTTCACAGTTGCTTTGTGATGTCAAAAGTGCTAACCAAGAAATTACATGCATTTTGTGGAATATGAAGATTTATTTCCATGTTGACAAGAAACTGGCACTGGTCCCCATCTTAAGCCAAAACAATCCTCCGATTCTGTCTATACTTTGAAGTAAATCCTCCCCAGAGTGCCCTATTCTCAAACACATATACCAGGAGTTATTCCTTTAATATGAGAAACAAAGTGTTACATGTATACTATAAAGCATACTTTGTTATAGAAAAGAAAATAATAAGAATAACGATGGGAGTGGGCCCAACTCATACATGTAAAGACTTATTTAAAAAGCTTGACATACTACCAATCCCATGTGTGTATTTGCTCTCATTGACGACATTTGTTCTTAATAATTTGGATAAGTTGTTTCAGACCAATAACTCTGTATGCATGACTGGTACCAGGAGGAATGACCACCTTCATATACCTACAACACATTTATCATCCTATCAGATAGGGGTGTATTATTCAGGTGTCAAGCTATTTAACACTCTGCCGTCAAATAGCACAGTTTTAAAAAATGATAAAAAGCAATTTAATTTTGTAGGTTTTGAGGTTTTCACGGCGATGACTATGAAGAAAGTCGTCTTCTGGGTTTAGGCGCCGTGTATTCTTCGTGTATTCTGAAGATGGAGGTGATACGTTCCTCCGAAACGTTGGCCAAAACGAAGAATACACGGCGCCTAAACCCAGAAGACGACTTTCTTCAATTTAATTTTGTTTTACAAAATTATTTACAAAGTAACGTAGTGTGACGTGTTGCGCAATGGAGGACACTCCCTCCCTCCCCAGCGATGACGTGGCAGCTATGGCCACGGGGTGCGTGCGTGCGGAATTCACAGCATAGAGTTGTTATGGTTGGAAATATGAGGGATTTTGATCAGGGGCGAATGTGACAGTGGTTTTTCCACGTCCTATGTGTGTTGTCTTGACAACTTGTGCTGTCTGTGTGAGTCTTGATTATACATTTTATTGGACCAAGGACGTATGATGTGTAGACATCATGAATTTGTAATGTGTTACATGTTTTACATAGGGCTGGCCCTATGGGGAGGTGATTAGATCCATGAAGTAGATAATTAAAAAGAAAGCAACGGGTGAAGTGGCAATATTATTTAATCATTACATTTTTAGATAAGATGATGCGGGAACTGCCCACATTCCAGCAAATGTGACAATGCAAGTATCATTGTGGAGGTGGGGTCAAATACCTCCACCGTGACCCTGCGGGTTGTAGGAGGTGACATAAAGGGAAGTCTCAAATCTGAAACAGTAAAATATGGTCACAAGTTCCAAGGGACTCGGACCCGGGAAAGACTGCACTGGCAAGGGCCAGCATTATATACAAAAGGCAGACCCGTCCTCTCGTCAGAGAGTGCGCCCCACAAAAACAAGACCGTAAATGCCAAACAATAATAAATATCTGGTCATGAGCCCCCGATGGGACTCGACACCAAGACTTACTGACTGACTGACTGACTGACTGACTGACTGTCAGTTGCAATGTGACTTGGACTTGGAACTTTACAATAACTCATTTATTTAATCTTTGTCTTCGGCTCTCTCATTTTCCAAATACTTGGAAGGAAGCAAAAGTAATAACTTTACCTAAACCCGGTAAAGACCTGAAATTCCCGTGAAATTTACGTCCGATCAGCCTCCCATCCACGACAGGAAAGCTATTCAAAAAAGTAATTTTGAAATTACTACAAAAATATATTGAAGAAAGAGGCCTGCTCAACACAAGCCAGTTTGGTTTTCATGCACGTCACAGCATGACATTGCAATGTATGAGGCTGGCAGACCATGTGACCCTTAATTTCAACAACAAAATGTCTATGGCCGCGGTGTTCTTGGATATCGAAAAAGCCTTTGATACCACGTGGCACTCAGGCTTGCTGTATGTTATCAAAATTGGAATTCTCAAACAAGCGGACCAAACTTATTGGGTCCTTTCTTTCTCAACGTAAATTCAGGGTTTCGGTTGAAGGCCAAATGTCAACCCCAAGGGAAATGCTAGCAGGGGTGACACAAGGTTCAGTCCTTTCCCATACCCTTTTCAATGTTTACATAAATGATGCCCCCCAAACACATGGTGTTCACATGGCCCTCCTTGTGGACGATACCTGTCTGTATGCGACAGATTGCAAGGAGGGTTTTATTGTTAGAAATCTCCAGCATGGTCTCAGCTGTGGAGACCTGGTGTGAGCACTGGAATATCAGAATTAATGAAGATAAGACTCAGGGGGTCTACTTCTCTCGTAGTCGTTGACCATTTGCAAATAGTGCAAAATATCTAGGTGTAATCGATAAGAGAGTTACATGAAGATTGCACATAGAAACGATTGAAGCCAAGGCCTTCAGAACATTCATTAGAATGTATTCCCTATTCAAAAGTGAGCAATTGAGCGCTAACATTAAAATGACCCTCCACAAAGCTCTTATTAGATCCGTAATAACTTATGCTAGTCCCGCGTGGGAATTTGGAGCAGACACTCATCTAGTGAAATTACAGTGCCTGCAAAACAAGGTTCTCCGCACCATTGGCAATTTTCAAAGGCGCACACTGGTCTGTGATTTATGCATGGCATTTAAAATCCTGTACGTATATGACTATATAACAAAATTATGCAGGAAACAAGCAGAAGTCATACAAAATCATGAAAATGAGAATGTTTGCAACATTGGACAAGGCGAAGCCCGACACAGAAAGCATAAGAGGCTTAAACTTGGCAGCAGTCAGGCATATGACCGTTCAAGTGACTAGACTGCCGTGGTAGCGAATACTACTAGAAATAGGGCAAAATCTGCTGTACTGAGCCTGGATTGACAGAGGCCTTGTATATATTGTACATAGAAATAGGAACTAAAATTAAATTTGTAAATATATGTAAATTCTGACAATGGACTTACTAACACAGACTATGACTGTCAAATGACAGACCTGACCTCTCGTCAGAGAGGGCGCCCCAAATGAACAGGACAGTAACTTTCATATAAGACGAAAGAAAAAGAAAATCTGGTCATGAGCCGCAGCTCGGGCTCGACACCATGACAGACAGACAGACTGATGGACCGTCAGTCACCATGTGACTTGGACTTGGGAAGTTTACAGTTCTAGATTTCTACAGTTCTACAATTCTAGTTCAGTGTTCAAGGAGTTCACTATTGTTATTATTCTTCTTCAATTTTTCAAATTCAAGTTTGTCCATGTATAGTGTGCAGCTGTAATAAATATTATAGAACAGTTCAGCAGGTGGTTGTCTCTTCATATAATGACATCCCACAATGGGAACACAAAAAGATTGTGAGTGGTACAATGCATTTCCTAAATTTAAACTTTTTTATATATTTTTTTATAAATGCATTTGGTTTCTTACTGTCATTCCCAAATATTTGAAATTTATCTCCTTGAGGAACATGGCTATAGTTAATGAAGATTTTGTCTTACGTTGTAATGGTGAGACTTGAACATCTACATAATATTCTCTTCATGTATTTCTGGACCATTGTCCTTATTAGCATCTAATAGAGCTTCTGTGTTTCATTGTACCGTGCAGTAAAGTCCCACCAATTATATAGCATGTATGGAGAATAGAGTGTTTCAGTTGCATGATGAAAACTTGCAGAGAAGGCCCATTACAGTACAGTTCTGTAAACAAGCCTGTACAGTATTAAAGTGAAAGAGAGAGTTAGAAGTGTACTGTGAATTGATGGGTGAAATATTTTGGATCTACTCTAATGTGAACACAGATTTGGCTATCCTTATTCTAATGGCAACTGAGGGAGGATGGTGAAGTTCCCTTTTGAAAATGATAAATCTGTTTGTTGGGTCATTCCGTGAAATACCAACATACTTATTGAAGTCTGAAGTTTAGGATTGGATGAAATTTGACATACATAGTCACATAACCAACTATCTTTATCTAATTATTTTTAATTTCTGTCAATTTTTTTTTAAAGACAGGGTGCTGAAAATCACTCCCTCTTGGGTAAAAAGGCATATCTTTGAAATTTTCTTTAGTAACTCTTTTGTGAATGAATGTACTTGAAGAAATATCAAAGAGGCCATTGTGAAGCTTGTGAAATGTTCTTTCTAAGCACTGTAGATAATATTCCTTACAACTTTTAAAATTTTAGATTTATGAGTGGTCACATGCTATGGACTTCGGAAATTTATTGCAGAAAAGTAACATCTGGGATTTGTTTGAAATTTGTCAGGAGTGGCAGGGACATACTCTTCTCAGAGGGCAGAAATATTTCATGGAATGCAAGAACTTCAGAAGCTGTAATTAGTTCTGTAAATAAGTTGAACATCTTTTCAGGTTATGCATTGCACAGTATTGTATGTAATCCTAACTGAGCAGGGGTCACTTCATGTGAAAACTAAGATACAGTTCAGAGTAGAGGAGATGTATCACTTTAATATATTGTCACGTATAGGGGTTAGGTGATGAATAATTGTGGATTCTAGATTTGATGATTGAGTTTGTTGGAAACCTCTGCTACAATTACAGTTGATTATAACAGCTCACACACATTGCTGTCTGAATCTCAAACTGGTCTCTGGCCTCTTGAGTTCTCTATCTGGATCTCTGAATCATGGACTGAACTAACTTCATACTGACCAAATACACATCACCAAGTAGAACAGTTGATTCTTCTCTGTTATTCTCTGTTTCATCTGTTGCCACAAAAATGTTTGACAGTCTCCAGGCAGCGCTATGATTTATACCAGCATATTTGTTGCTGCAGAAACATGTTTTAGCTAGCCGTTGAAAGAGAAACTTAGTGTTTACTTAGTTGTTGCTCATCAACATACATCTGACTCTGGTTCCACTATTCTGGCTTTCAGGTGTCATGTCACAATATTTAAGTGATTTATAGCTCAACAGTAGGAGCTGGGATAGTGCAGTTGGTATAGCAACTGGATATGGGCTGGATGACTAAGGGGTTGGAGTTCGAGTCCTGGTAGAGTCAAGCATTTTTTCTTTTCTGCAGGGTCTAAACCGGCTCTGGGGCCCACCCAATCTCCTATCTAATGGATATCAGGGGCTCTTTCCCTGGGGGTAAAGCGGCCGGGGCGTGAAGCTGGCCTTTCACATCTGTCTAATGCCGAGGTTGCGAAAACATGGATCTGTACATCCACTGTCCCATATGTCTTCATGGCATAGTGCTTAATTAGTTAAACTCTTGGACAACTTTACTTTTTATAGCTCATCAATAGAATTTGGGGGTGAAATTAAACGAAAGACTAATGGGTCTGAGTCTACTTCCTTGTGTCTTCTTTATTTACCTATGGCATGTGAGCATTGAGTCCAAGAGTATAACTGTGGTTAATGCTGATTTTTACAGCTGCGTGTGTCTGGGTTTTGGCAAGTCTAGTCTTGAACCAAGACTTCATTAGTCATTTCACCCTGTCACAATGTTAGTGTTAGGACTATGTTTAAAAAGAACAAATCTCAGTACTGAATTACCACAATTTAAGATGTCCATCAGTTTAGTGTTCAGATTCACTGCCCCTGAAAGAAAACTTAAAATGGGAGTTTTGCTGGGTATATTATTGTTATGAGGAGATAATATTGAAGTAGATCCTAAAAAACACAGCTTGTGAGGATATAGCCTGGATTCAGGATCTACTGGTGGGATCTTCTGAACATAGTTATGTACCTGTGGCATCCATAAAAGGCAAGGAGGGAATTTGTGCAGTTGTTGACTTGCACCATGGAGTTAATTATTGTTGTATACATAATGTAATTAAACTTTTGGATGTAATGTTAACTTTGAATCAATATGCAGAATGTTTTCAAGTGTGTGACATGTACATCTCATAGATTAGGGGGTTAATGATTAATTCTCATGACATATTTAATAGTAAAATAGATATTTTAAACATATTTGCCATAAAGTGCAAGCTGTCAGTACTGTGAACTTGACAGGGTTAATCTGTAGTGCTGAATTAGATTGTTGTTTCAGATAAGCTGGCATCTCTGCTTGATGAGAAGAAAGCTGTGAGGCTCACTGAACGTATATTTGACCTGGCAGAAGAATTGAAACCATCCCAGCGAGCATCTCGGAGACGACATCATGAAAGTGAACCAAAGCAAGAAGATAAGGAAGCATCCAAAAAAGCCAAGATGAAATCTAACATGGAACCTGAAGTGACGACAATCCCAGCCCCAGGCAACCCAAGTCCTGGTCAGCTCACAACATTGCAGGTAGAGATATATTGAATATTAGCATTGTGATTAATGCTTCAAGTTACAATCTATTTAACCTTTCTGGGCTTGCATGCTTTGATAACGACAGAGGAGTAGCCTGTGGCTTGTGAGGCATATTGTGCTATGTTGAGAGCTCACTGTGACTTCTGAACTGTATGAGTTGGCGTTTTTAAAATTTGGAGTGTTTTACCTATCCCAGAGGTGAGGTAAAGGACAAACATACTGAATCTGGTTTATCTTGACTTTTCAGATAAAAGAGATGATGGCAAATGCTCAGAAGATGATAGAGGAAAGAAAGCGTGCTCTGAATGCTCTTGCAGCAGATGAAATTCCACCTGTTCGTAGTTTAATATTCCGCAATGATGATGCTGTTCCAATACGCCCAACTTTGTATGGGCTACCTCCCACAGCCATTCCATCATTGATGCAGCGTGGTGACACTGATAAGGCCAGAAAAATTGCTCAGCTACAGGTAATGAATGCTTCTTAATTTGACAAGTAAAATTGTTTTACAAAGTGAGTTTCTGTACATTGCTACACTGAATTTATGTGAATGTAAGCAATATTTTCAGACAACTGCGTTTTGCATACTTGCTATCATTTCACACTAATGTGAATTTGTGCAGTCCAGAAAATATTGTTAGTGAGTTATGTTCTTTTACTACAATATTTGTTTACTTTAAATCACCAAATAGTTGTGTCTCTTTGTCTTTGTTAGAGTGAAAGGTAGTGCATGAATAGTGAAATTCCTTGAAATATCCTATTTAAGATTTTTCATCATCTAGAGTTCATTTTTAATATGTTTACCCAGTTTTGTGTTTGTTGTCTTCAAAGCACCTCATTTATCTACATGTCAGGACCTTAGCTCTGCATGATGGTCTCTCTAGTCAGAAAACTGATGTCAGACAAATTTCACTGAATGCTCTCATGCTCATATGTCAGGAACATAACTTTGCATGTCACAAAATGGTGCAGTTCTCTCTTTCTAAGTTAGGTATTTAGAAGCAATATGTAGTTAGATTGACACCACTGAATGTTCCACATTTGAGTCTTATGTTTTGGAGGAACTGGATGACCAAGTAACCTGGCTGAGGTATTTCATAATTGTGGAATATTGAAAGATGCTGTGTATAGAAGTTATATGTGGAATTGAAAGAGATATGGAGATACATAAGTATGAATGGTGAATTTGTAAAAGGAGTCATCATTAGTTGTATGCCTCATTGAAGCTTGGGAAAGCTGGTGGTGCCCTGTGCTGACATTCCAGTGAGATTTAGCTTTACTCATTACATCTTGCCTTTGTGTTGGGCACATTCATAGTCATTCATATCTGTGCATGTTTGTAATAAACGGTGCAGTTTTTCAGTTTGGGAGCAGCAAGATGGGGTGCTGATGGTCGGTAAACAAACAAGGATAGAAGTGCATGATTTTTGATATTTAAGTAATGTAATCTAAATTTGTATGTATGAATGAGTTATATTCTCTCACCTGTTAATATGATTTGTTTAAACTATTTGTTGTTCACGTTTCTGTTAATACTGTACTTAGTATCTGTGCACCATTTGTTTTATTTATGAATTCCATGTTGTTTGTCCATTTGTATTTCTTGAGGGAAGAATGAAATTAATAATATATATATATATATATGTCATATGTACAATATGAATTGTAGGTGCATTTCTGAGTACTCATATATTAATCACTTGAAGAAAATATTTAAAACAGTTCATACTTTCTGAAATTTTACAAATTGTTAAGAAACTTGAATTATATAATAATTTAGATGAATAATTAATTAGTTTAGAATTTTAAACTATTTGAAAAGTCTATTAAGATTCTGTTACTTTTTTTTTTCAGGCCCAAATCCAGTCAAAACTTTCAACAGGAGTGTTAAGTCTGCCTCCTATACGACCAGTAGTTCAAGACAAACCCACTCCATTGATTTTGGATGATGAAGGCCGTACTGTAGACATCACAGGCAAAGAAGTTCAGCTGACACATGTTGTTCCAACTCTTAAGGTAACTACTGATATGTTGAAAAACAACAGATGAACACTTCATGCTGTGGTCATAACCTTTTGAACATTTCAAGAGAACCCTATTTAAATTGTTAAATGGGTATGTACTCCATCGGCATAAATAGAAAACAGAGCTAGAGATCGAGGTAAGCACAACTGTGTCATTATGTATGACATAATACTACTATTTGTGTTAAGTTTTCCATATGAAATTACAGTGTGATTATTATTATTCAAGAAATGTCAGAATATATATATATATATATATATATATATATGAGGTAGTGTTTTAAAATGTATACAGCCACATCAGAGAGTATGCAGGTGGCCCCCCCCCCCATCTTTGAAGAAGAAATAAAAATATTTACCCTTAACTGTAATGCTATGACATACATAAATTACAAATTGCATGCATGCCCATGTTGGATCTTTCTTGCAAGCGCACGCTTTTTCATTGTTTTGCACTTGTCCTGTATATTGTACCTCTCTGTATCAGTGGCATTCTAGCTCTGGTGCTGTGCAAATATCACAGCACTGCAGTAAAACAAGACATTTCATAGCAAGGTGTATGTTGTTTAAAACTGTAAAATTAATTATAACTTTATAATGATTGTGACATGACAGAATAGTTTAAAAAGAGATGTCATCTGTTGCTAGGTAGTGGCATAGTAAACATGCTCCTACACCATGAAACAAGCAGGCCATTGCTAGGCAGCAGCAGAGGATGTTTGTGATCCAACCCAAGATTACATGATGAGGCCAACAGTCAAGTTGACAGTGCCAATTCTGACACCAGTTGTCATTTGTTGATGACTAGACATGGTTTGAATGATAAGCGATAACAGTTTCACGTATATACCTACACACTGTACAGATTACTGTCCTGCAGTACTCATGAAGTCTCATTTTGTCTGCTCATTGCTTGGTTATGGTTCCCAGTAATGGAGATTCTTCTGCTCTCAGGCTTTTGTTGTTGCCAGCTGGCTGCCACTTTAAAACTAAGTCATGAGAGTGGTTGAGTATTGACTCAGCTGGTGGCCTCGTTATATAGCCTGGGGTCAGACTGCATATAAAACACAACCAGCTACAGCTCCCAGAGTTAGTAGAGAGTCCGTCGAGTGTAACAATTTGTAGGTCACTTTTTTAATATCACTTCTGCCTTACATGTTTCGGTTTGATACAACCATCATCAGAGGCACTTGCTATAACTATGGAAACACTGTCGTTTATGATGTTCACAGTTATGTTTGTCGTGTAGACGCTGCTACAATATGCTGACGTGTAAAAGCACAAAACTTACTAAGATAGTTGAGTACACTATCAAGTTCTCACTTTTCATCCAAAACTGTTTTAAGTTAAAATGCTAAATGTTAAAATATTTCCATAGTTATAGCACGTGCCCCTGATGATGGTTGTATCAAACCGAAACATGTAAGGCAGAAGTGATATTAAAAAAGTGACCTACAAATTGTTACACTCGACGGACTCTCTACTAACTCTGTGATTGATAGTGTAACGGACCAAAAATGAAACAATTCAAAACAGCTACAGCTCCTCTATTGTTGCATGTTTATCTGTTTCCTAGTGATGGCCTGCTTAATTTGATGATGCATGGGTGTGTTTACTATGCCATTGCCTAGCAACAGATAACGTCTCATATTATTCTATCGTGTCACATTGCTCCCTCCTTGGCTGTTCATGCTTAGTATCCTACAGGTGTATCACCATGATTCTTCTAGTCTGTGGGGATGGAGCTTTTGGAAATGACTGGTGCTCCTTTAGCCAGCATGTAAGCTGTTGATGGTTTCTTATTTTGTTTGGGAGTGGGCTGTCTCCTCCACAATGCCCTCTCTCTTATTTTCCATAGCCTGATGAAAGCTGTGTCACCAGCTTTATGACTTCCAACTCTGGGGTCTGCCTGAGGTTCTCATTGAGTGTCCTCTTGCCTCCCAACAGTAGCTGCTTGTTTATGCTGTTGCTGTATGTGTATCAAAAAGAAACACCTGCTGCACAGTCATGGCCACCTCACTCATTGAGAGCACTGCAAATGCACCCTGTTAAGTCCCACATCAAAATCAGTTATTGGGGTGCTGAACTTAGTGGTTTCCACCCTCGCAGTTCAGCTGTACAGAACAGAGATCTGGATGTGAGGTGCTGGAAACAACTGGTGAATTACAGATTGATTTTGGGGTGGATTGACACAACAGATGCAGTAACTTTGTTGTTGTTTGGTGCATCCTGAAGGTATGTGCAGGTGAGATCTGATGTGCTTGCTTACCACAGCTTGAAGAATCAGGATCAGATGGTCTCTGGAAGCTGTGATAAAAGTCAGCCAACCAGTGTGTCATCTGAGGTGTTAGTTTGGATTACACCAGATAATGGAACTGCTGATACTGGATGCACAGGCAAATTATTGAGTCTTCTTGAGCATCATATTTGATATGGTTTAAATAAGTCTGATGTTGGTGTCATTGATCAGATTTGGCAATTGAATCAGTCCTTGAAATAGTATCTGATAGAAGCAGTGGTTGAGTGGGTTAAAGTTTATTCATGTTTTCTATTTCAGTAATATTAATACTGTTAATATCTGATTCATATTCAGTACTTTGGCATAGTGTGTGTATGTTTCCATTAGGTAGCACAGCATGTTCATCTGAACATAGATCTAATTGCTACTTGCGAAATGTCCTGATACTTACAGATGTGGGGGTATGGTCCAAAAATATTTCAGTTTCTCTCAATGTTCATTTGTGTTGAGCATTATTATGAACCCTCCAGTGTGGTCAGTAAAGGGAGGAATGTTACATGCATATCATGATAGATTTTTATTCTGAATATGAGTATTCTGTATACTGCAGTGTATTAGTTAGTGTGAAATGTAACTATTACATTATTATATTCTTATCCTGAAGAGCCAACACAAAAAAGTGAAGATACAGGGTGGTTCAAATATGACTGGGACTGATTTGTGTGTAAACAAGCCGCACTGCGCAGCAGCTGTGCGACCTTGAGAGAGTGAAGCCACAACCTCCACCCTCCCTCCTGTCTGGGAGTTGCTAAAGTGATGAGCGAACAGAAGATACCGCGGAGCCTGGAACAACGCATTGTGATCAAATTCCTCGTTGGAGAAAACGTCCCATCCCCTGAAATTCACCACAGACTCCAACAACAGTATGGGGAAGGGTGTCTCTCATGGACCCGTGTGTTTGAGTGGTGTAAGTGCTTTAGAGAGGGCAGAGAGTGCGTGGAGAATGAACGGCATGATCGTCGGCTGTGAACATCCATCACTGAACCAAACATTGATCATACAGACGCGTTTATTCGTGAGAATAGGCACATCACTAAAAAGGAACTTGGAGCAATGCTGTCCATCAATGTTGGTAGTGTAGAAGACATCGTGAAATACCACCTGCACTACCGCAAAGTGAATGCACGGTGGGTACCGCACTCTTTGACGGACGTGAACAAAATGGTGCGCATTCAAGCTGCCAGTCGTCTCCTACAGCAGTTTGAAGACGAAGGTGATGCATTTTTGAAGTCTGTAGTGACCACCAATGAAATGTGGGTGCACTACTTCATTCCCGAGACCCAGTAGTCATCACGCAAGTGGCGGCATACCAGTTCTCCCAAACCCAAGAGAGTGTGGAGGAGCCTTTCAGCAGGAAAAGTGATGGAAACGTTCTTCTGTGACTGGCAGGGAGTTATCCATGTAGACTTTCTGACAGATGCCAGAACAGTCAATGCAGCTTATTACTCAGACCTCCTGGCAACAGACTTGAAGGAAGAGATCCGATCCAAACGGAAGACAGGTGGAAAGCGGGTAGCCTTCCTTGAAGACAATGCACACCCCCATACGGCCAAAACAACAATGGAAACCCTCCGGAAATTGAAATGGAACCTTTTGACACATCCGCTGTACAGTCCCAATTTGGCCCCAAGTGATTTCTACCTGTTCGGAAGGCTCAAATCAGACTTGCAAGGCATGCGGTTTGTGGACGACACCGTCATCCAGACTGTTTGGGAGTGGATACGCCACCAACCACAAGCCTTTTTTGAAAAGGGCATCAGAATGCTTCCAGAATGTTGGAAAAAATATGCTGACTCTGGAGGGGAGTACGTTGAAGACTGACATATGGAAGTAAGTGTTTGGCAATTATGGGTTTAAAAAAAAATCAGTCCTGGTCATATTTGAACCACCTTGTATTACTGCATGACATCCAGAATTCGTAAACTTTGGAATGCTGTAACTGCATCATTATCACGTGACAATAGTTTCAGTATTACTTTCATGTGAATATACAGGGTGGTCCAAAACAGTTCACTTGTTTGCTTAGTGACACACTTGTTAGAGTCACTATGCTTAAGCACAGTGCCATGAAGCCTTGGCCACACTATGTCTGGGGAAAGAGTGCTTCATACCCATTGTTATTCATTTACTGACTGACTTTCAGATTGTTGTTCCGAGAACCTACTATCATCAACCATTTTATTTAAGATTTGGAGGAAACTGTTTCAGGACATTCTTAGCATAATCTTTATTTCATTCGTTTGCTGTCATCTAGATAATTTCCACTTGTAGTTTTCTGGGCCGCAGGCTTGCTGATTCTGCAAGCAGTTCATATCTGTGCAGCTCGACTAGATGGGAGGAGTGTCAGCTGCTTCTTTCTGGGCAGCTCAGTTTTTGAGAAGATTTTCAGTTGATTGCATTGTACAGTTAATATGTTTCAGATTTACTGTTTTTTTTTCTGATAAGCCTGCATAGGAAGATTTTCTTTACAAGAAGCTTATTGAATGTTCTCATTTTATATAGGCTAACATCCGAGCAAAGAAGCGTGAGGAGTTCAGGCAGCAGCTACAGGAGCGAGTTGTTGAGGATCTGTCAGAGACTCATTTCTTTGATTCGCGCATTGGGATGAAGTCTGCTATTCGTAACAGGAGGGCACTCCGGTTCCATGAGCCAGGCAAGTTTCAGCAGTTGGCTGACAGAATGAGGATGAAGGTATGTGTGAATCACTGATGATGGTGATAGGCCACTAATTGTGGAAAAATTTGAGAAGTCATGTCCCTGAAGAACATAAAGCATTATCTGTTTTAATACAAAGCATTTGCAAATGCGTGGGCAATAGAAAGGGGTGTCTGCCACAGAGAGGGAACAGAAATTCTGTTTCCACTTGGTCAGTGTGTATGATCATTCTGAAAGGAGGATTGGCAGTTGTGCTGTTGCATGTGCGCAGCAGTAATGTTATATTCGCTTTGTTGTAAACAGACTTTTGCAGCACTACCCATGCACATAGAGCCACAGATGCTGGGCACTGCTAGTCATTAATTAGCTCTACAGATGCAGGTAACAAAATTGTAATAGCTTTGGGGCTCTAATCAGAAATTTATTTAAAAGCTGTACAAGAGCTTGGAAGAACAGAGCAATTGGTTTGCATTTTCACAAAGTGTAGTAGTAACAGTGGCAACTTAACATTGGACCTTTATGGCAATACATATTTAGTTTCCCTTCCATGCAGGCAACACATTTCAAGTTCAGCAAATCATATCACTTAAATTTTGTAGTGCATATTTTTGCTTATTTAAATGGCTGGAGCATACATTTTCCTTTGTTGCACATGTTCAGCATGTCTGGGCTGTTCTCTGTGCTGTGTGTTGTCATGTTTAGAAGAACTAACAATTTACAACACTCAGCTGTTTAGGTATTCATATAATTATCAGTTATTTTTTGTAGTGTAACTTCATTTGCGTGATGCAGCAGTGTGTTACTGCGTCACTGGGGGGGGAGATAGGTGGTGCTTGAAAATTGTATTCGCAACACACCAGCATTTGCACATAAAATTCTGATGTAGGGAGTCATTCATTGAAGCAATAGAAATGATTTGTGTGTTTCCCTGAGGTACTGTTTGTTCCACCTTGTCACAGAATCATGCCATTGATATGGTACAGTATAAGGACTTCTCAGTTAAGAATAGTATGGGGAGATCTAAGAGTGCATATTTTTTTAGTGTTATTTTTATTGTACTGAAAATCATGTTAGGTAGACATGGTTTGTTAAAGCAGTGGATTGTCAGTGATGCAGAACATAGCCGAGATGATTATATTTTGTCGGCTGTGTGGGAACTCCATGGGGGAAAAAGCATCAGCTGGATCCATATTCACATACAAGTGTTCATGTACTGGCATGAAGATGATTGAATTCTTTAACATAAATGTCACTGATATGGAAAGTGCAACCTTTGTCTGCAAATTGCTCTTTTGTTTTGGTCTTCTTGAAACAGTGTTTGCTGCAAACATTCTGTGGAATAAATTGAACAATGAGTATTTTCAAGCTTTTCTGGAAATATACAGTGCCCCACAGGAATAATGTCTGAGGATAAGGTAACTGGGTGAATATGCAGCCTCACCCCCCCCCCCATTCACTTTACACTCACCTCACTCCACTCACAGAGTTGGGTTAAGTTAGATGCAGCTTCAGTCACTGGGTTAAAGTAGACTTAGTTGCTCTCAATAAGTCATCTAACAGTGACTTTGAAGTATTGGTTGCCAGCTCACATCGGTGAACACAAGATCTCTCACAGGGTCATTAAGTGGGCCTTGGCTCCAACAATAGAGTCCACAAACCAAAGACAGCAACCACACAAACACTTTACACTTTATTATAATGCACAAGTTACATGGTTGAATAATGTCTGAAACTTTTATTGGGTATAGCCCTCTGTTATGGGCGACAAGCGTGACGCGCGTCTTTCTTATTGAGAGCCAGGGTGCGTCTGATTGAAACAAAGAACTGTGTACGATATCAAGCTATTGCTAGTATGATGTCACACTGGGTAACTAGCAATTCTGATTGGCTATACCACTGGGATGTCCCTAGCTAACTGCTTATGAAGCTCGCATCATACATCCTCAAGCAACAGGGGAACTCTGGAATTATAAAACTCAAGTCACGCCACATTGCGTAATCTTCTACTCGGTATGTAGTGCATAGCGTAATATAACGCGTAATAATATACGTAATTTTACAAATTCATAATTGATTAAACCTTATAAAAATACAATGGTTATCACAAAATTAATTGTATACACAAATTTGGTAAAGTATATTATTATAAAGGAATAATCGGTTATAAATGTACACATTCAGCTGTTGGAGAGGTTAGGAAGAACTAAAAGCTATTGTTATTTGGGGCATGGTGGATGAAATTACTATGGGATTGTCGATGTTCTAAATGACAACCATGTAAAACTGTAACAATTGTGTATATTGAATCGTATAAACTGAATTTACAGAATAGCAGAATACAGAATATATGTGGAATGTTCAAAAATTGGCTTGCCCTCCAAGGGCGGTTTGTTCCGCCGTGAGTGTGCCAGCAGGTTTTGCTCCTCCGTAGTAGGTGGAGCCTTACGGCTGTACAGCTGGCCTGTCTGGACAGTGATGTAATGCTGCATGCGCCGGTAGAAATGGCTGCCTCGGCCGGTTGCTGGAGTTGCGGCAGCTGCGTTCGCTGTCTGGTCGCTGGAGACTTGCAGCTACTACTTTGATTGCCTGGTCGCTGGAGGCTTGTGGCAACTACATCAGTTGCCTGGTCACAGTGAAGAGCTGATGCCTCTGACGACTCATTGCTCTAAACTGAGTGTGTTCACTGATGATTGCGAACTTTGGGCTCCGCCTTTTATACCATGCTCGATGGAGGGGCAAAACTTGCAGTTGCGATTGTGAGCACTGATTGGCTAGCGCATGTTATGATCTAAATGTGAGCTGGATGTTGAGTGCTTTTTAAATACAAGTGCTGCCAGCAATGTGATGTTCACTTAAGAGTGAGTGTTGTCTGTTAATCGGCGAAACAGTGTCACAGTATGTGGGATGTTCCCACATTGCAGTTGCTTTGTACCTAATGTGTAGGTAATATATTAATGTGAAAGTTAGTTAAATGTGGACTGTGAACCCCACATCTTATTGCATACAAAATCCTAAAGAGAACAAATTATTGTACTGATTAAGTTAAACTTGTTTTGTGAATGCATCACTGCATCTGATGTGGCCACTAAGAAAAGGGAACAAAGACAAATTTGTAAGATTTGAGGTATTCATGGCAGTGACTATGAAGAAAGCAGTCTTCTGGGATGTGGCACCTTGTAGATGTGGTGTTAACCGATGTTTCGGAGGAACGTATCGCCTCCATCTTCAGGGTAGTAGGAAAAATAAGAAAATCTGCAAGTGAAGAGACAGTGAGAACAGGTGCAAGCAGACTAATGTTGGAAATAAACTCGGTTATATGAGCGCAGGAAAGGAAGGGACAAGTCTACATGGGAAATCAGTGGAGAGGGAGAGGGGAAGGGTCTGGGGAGCTGGAGCAAGGTTAGAGCAGGTATAGGATATTGTGTCAGGGGAGAAAGGCAAGGTTAATGGGAGGGCATTAACCCTTAAGCTGGGGGGTTGCCGTGTGAGTCGGTCATGGACTGTGTGGCCTTGTGGATCTGGCGTAGTGTCCTGGGGGAGGGGTTTAGGGGGCAGATGAGAGGCTTCCATGACTTGCTGATACAAAAGCCCCCTTTTCTGTTCATATTGTCAGGATGGAATTCAATCTCAATGGCTTCCCTAATGATGTGATCCATATATTGGGTCTTCGTGGCGATGATGGAAGACCCGATATATGGATCACATCATTAGGGAAGCCATTGAGATTGAATTCCATCCCGACAGTATGAACAGAAAAGGGGGCTTTTGTCTCAGCAAGTCATGGAAGCCTCTCATCTGTCTCCTAAACCCCCCGCCAGGACATAACGCGTATACCTGCTCTAACCTTGCTCCTGTCCCAGACTCTTCCCCTCTCCCTCTCCACTGATTTCCCATGTAGACTTGTCCCTTCCTTTCCTGCTCTCATATAACCGAGTTTATTTCCAACATTAGTCTGCTTGCACCTGTTCTCACTGTCTCTTCACTTGCGGATTTTCTTATTTTTCCTTCTACCCTGAAGATGGAGGCGACACGTTCCTCCGAAACGTCGGTTAACACCACATCTACACGGTGCCACATCCCAGAAGACTACTTTCTTCAAAGATAAATTTGTTTCATGTGTTCTTCAGATGCTGCTACCCTTATAATAAAAGCAGCAGTTAATTCTTTGAAGGTATTTATTTATCTGCACCATATTCAGATTTCATAGTTAACACACTGGCTTAACAGAGTAGCGAAGCCATTTCAGGCGAAAATATCACAGAAGTGAATAATACTATCATCAAGCAAAATAGAGTCCTGTCAGAGTAGGTTGGTCCATGTCTCGATGGGGGGTGTAAATGGGGCACTCCATTCCCTCATTTGACTAACATCTATCATTTTTGTGTGTTATCCACACCATTCTGTAATCATAGCTTCTGCCTTGTGTACTGGCTCCCCAATGGATGCTGAACACCCATAAAATCCTTTAGGGGTATGATCTTAGTTGTTTTAAGGCCCTCTGCGGTTGTTTATATTTACCTCCACCCTCATAGCCTCATCTTCCCTCTATTATGAGAGCCACATATGTTAGTGTCATTCATGACGGGTTTCTTCCTCTTCCAGGATTATTACCGTATTTACGCATGTATAGGCCGCACATTTTTTGCCAAAAATTCAAGAGGAAAACTGGGGTGCGGCTTATATTCGAAATATTCGAAATCACACTTCATTTAAAAAAAATTATATTCCTAATTAGTAATACAGGGTGTAATACTCATGAAATAATATTCCAAGAAAATTATTTTTTCTATAATTTCTGTCTGAAAATTGTGCTGCGGCCTCTACACGCACACGGCCTATACATGCGTAAATATGGTATATTAACTGCTTAAGGCACACTCTGTTTATATGTTACAGGCTCAGTTGGAGAAGTTGCAGAATGAGATCTCACAAATTGCCAAGAAGACGGGTATCACATCAGCAACCAAACTTGCCCTGATTGCACCGAAAGCTGAGCACCGAGAAGAAGAAATTCCAAATGTTGAATGGTGGGACTCTGTTATTCTCACAGAAGAAAAGTAAGTTTAGCAACTAGCAAGGAAATGAATGCGTTGCATTCACTCCATAAACAAGGAGGAAAGCCTAGTATTGATACCATCTCTGTCTATCATGGTTTTAACTTGTGAACTCATATTTATATACGAGTTTTTTTTAAAGATCCATATTAAAACTTGATTATCAGATATGAATTATTGGGCCAAGCCTCTCAGGACTGATACTTTGTTCGACTAAGACATATCAGCTGACAGTGGCTTCACAGTTTAGGGCATGAACTTTCAATCAAGAATAACTCCAGTATGGGTGAAGAGGCAACTTCTGTTTAACCCATGAAGATGATGAGGAAATTGGGTTTGGGGATGCAGAATGGATTCATCTGGCTCAAGATATGGTCTAGTGGTGCTCTCTCTGTTGTGAACACCATAGTGAGTCTCTGGATTTTATAAAAGTGGGGGAATATCTTGACCAGCTAAGTGACTATTAGCTTCTCAGAAAGGACTGCAGTATGAAGTTGGTTAGTTAAATAACACTGCACTCAGCTTCTGCCAAATTCATCAAGGTTGTAAGAAGCCTCTCAGCTTGTTTCCAGCCTTCTTCCTCTGTTATGGTCACCAGTAGAATTTAAAAGAAATTTGCATTTGATTTTGTTTCTTGAATTCAAGTGATATTTGGTTATTGAATTAAATTGAGCTGTTGGTGGGTATTGATAAATTTATTTACTTATTTCTGTTACAGTTACAATGTGAAAAATGGGAAACCGCTTTTGAAGGAACCTGCAATAACAAATCTTGTGGAACATCCAATTCAACTTAGACCACCTAGTAAGTAATTCTCAAGATTTATTTTCTGTGTTCTGATACTTTCCCATGCATGCTTTCATTATTTTTTCTCATACACACAGAGTTTTCTTTCTGGGCATACTTAAACTATGGTATTTAAATTTCCGAAGTCAGAAATGCATCTGTTACCATTTTATTACAACTTTCAGGAAGAAATTTCCTATAGATTGCATTAAATTATTTACAAGTGAAGCCTTCATAAGTGTGTAAGGTGTAACATAACATGAGCTATGCTTGTGCTGCTCTAAGTCAGCATAACTAGACTAAAATAAATAACCCAACACAATATGTAGAAGAAAGCAATTAAATATGTATGAAATAGGCTGCAAGTTGACTCCTTGAACTTGTGTCAGTAGAAGCAGAGAAGGGGCTGCTATAGCATGTACCACATTTACACATGTATCATCTGGTGGGATTTAAGAGAATGAGTAGCAAAGAAATCAGTAAAACATGTCTTGTACAATTAATGCTTGAAGAGTACAGTGGTATGTATATGTACCATCTTGCTTTGACATTTGTAAACTCTGCATTTAACTCATAGAATGTATCACTTTGTTTCACATGATTCTCACAAGGAGTGATGATTATTTCCCAAAACTGCATTATAACACAATGATGTTTGTGATTGAGATCTAATGTAGTTCTGTGAGGTAAGTACTGAACATTATTTTATTTATATGGACCTCAGGCTTCTGAGATTTAAGTACATTGTGTTATGAAAGTATCAAGAATAAAGAAATGCAGTTCAATACAATTATAATATATTATCCCGATATTATTAATATCAGTGTTCAGTGACAGAATAGTTCAGAAAATGGCTGCACAGTGCGAGGTTGCAGCTGCACTCTTTGTCTTCCAAAGTAAAAGTATAATCTGACAGCAGTGCTACATTCTTAGGGCCAAGTCAGGGCTTCTTACATCACACATCTCACCTCCACTGTAGTGTGGAAACAGTAATCAGGCCATCTCCCTCCCATCTGCACAGTAAGAGATAAAAGCCAGTACATATCCTGTATAGTCTCACCTTTAGATAAAATTTCAGAACTGATTCTTGTGCTATGTATTTTTTTTAAGTCTCCTCTTTGAAGCTAGTCTTATGTCTTTCACCTGGAAGGAATTGAACTGTCTGAAGTCAGTCACTATGAAACTAGTAGCTGTGCTTTGCAAATGTTATGAAAGGAATAGGAGAATATTTCTTGCTGTTTAATGCCACCCCAGGGATTAAATTAATTTGCCGAGTGAAAGATGGATGTAGTGCCACAGAATTATAATGCACAGAACTCACATATAGATTAACAATTAAAAAAAAAGAGCTGTAAAAGATATTCACCAAAATTACGAGGGAAAGTCAATAATTATCCGCAATGCAGTTGTATTTGTGTTTCTGTTGGCAACACTGTCGTTTTGCGCAGCATCGCCATGCGTGGTTTCCTTGTCATTATTTCTGCGCAGGTTTGATGTTGCTAGGTCAGTTCCATCGTTGCTGCCTTGCTGTTAATCATGGTGGCTGCGTTTTCTGTTTGCACCAAAGAAGAGCAACGTTCAGTGATCCGGTTTTTGTGGTCGGAAGGTGTATCAGGGACCGCAGTCCATCAAAGACTTTCAGCACAATACAGGAACAGTGTTTTGCCGCAACGGAGTGTCAGTGAATGGACTGAAAAATTCAGAAATGGTCGCACAAGTGTTACACATGAGGAAGGAGCCGGATGACCATCCACGGCCACAAATGAGGACAACATTGAGCATACACGTGACATGGTTCTGTTAGACAGACGAGTGACTATTGATGAAGTGGCAAATCGTCTGCAGATTAGTCATGGTTCTGCCTACGAAATCATCCACAACAGACTTGGGTGTCATGAAGTCTGTGCAAGATGGGTCCCAAAACAACTCACAGTGTTGCAAAAACAAACGCGCTTGGACATCTGCCAACAACATTTGGATCGCTATGGTAACGAACGTGATGTCTTGTTAGACATAATCATCACTGGTGATGAAACTCGGATCCATCATTGCGAGCTGGAGAGTAAATGGCAGAGTATGGAATGGAAACATCCACAATCACCCAGAAAGAAAAAGTTCAAAAGCCAAGCATCTGCAGGAAAACTGATGCTTACAGTTTTTTGGGACTGACAGGGCCCAGTATTGGGAACATTATCAGGAGAGGGGCACGACAATAAACAGTGCTCGTTACAGTGAGATGCTTACTGACAGGCTAAAGCCTGCAATTCAAAGCAAACACCGAGGACTACTGTCGAAAGGTGTTGTGTTGTTGCACAACAATGGCCGTCCACATACTGCTCCCACACTGATGAAACCCTCCGGAAACTCAAGTTTGATGTAATGGCTCATCCTCCATATAGTTCTGATCTCGCCCCTTCTGACTACCACTTGATTGGTCCACTCAAAGAGGCATTAAGGGGCTGTCGATTCATCTCGGACCAAGAAGTGAAGGAAGCGGTGCATGCGTGGCTCGCTGCTCAGCCGAAAACTTTCTTTTCTGAGGGCATCAGGAAGCTTGTGCAACAATGGACCAAGTGCGTTGAAAACCAAGGGGACTATGTTGAAAATGATGTTAATGTAAGTTTTCTGTTTGTATTGAAATAAAATGTATAGCTACATTGCGGATAATTATTGACTTACCTACGTAGTTTTTTTTCAATTTCTGATTTATAATATTGATGAGAAATGAAGATTACAGCAAGAAACAACTTCTTATGGTTTTATCAGAAAGGGGGAATTCTAAGATCAGCTAAACAAAGGCAGTATTCATGGACAAAAATATTTATGCAGTAAAATCTGATGAACTGAAAAAGCTATTCTTTTCCGAGAACCCGCAGCCATGTCTCCACACAGCAAGTCGATTGGCATGACACTAGTGTTCTTTGACCACATGCAGTAATATTGTCATTGCTGTGATGACACAGCAGTTTCCTTGTGAGATTAAAATAGAAAATGATTGTAGGACTTTTTTAAATTTTTGCTTTGAATTGGCAATTACAGTATTTGGCTGTTCAAGTGACTGTGCAATCTTTTGCTGCAGCACCACGTGAATTCTGAGACTGTGAGACAAATAAATTTTGTTTTTCTTTCTGTTCCATTCTTTGTCTCTTTCATTTCTTCATATGCCCCTTAAGCATTATATTTGAAACATCATGCATGGCAGCAGACACATTCTGCTGCATGAGATGTGGCAGCGGGTAAGAGCAGTGTACTTAATTTTGCAGCGGATCCTATGAAACCTGTATATATGCCTGTGTTCCTCACAAAGAAGGAACAGAAGAAGCTGCGGAGGCAGAACCGACGTGAGGCCTGGAAAGAAGAACAGGAAAAGATTCGACTTGGTCTGGAGCCACCACCAGAACCTAAGGCAAGCCCCTTATCATTTTCCAGAATTTAAACAAATACTGATGAATTTATGAAGATTCAGATAAATGTAAATTTGGGCTGTTGTTCATCTGCTTAGTATTTTTCTCTACCCATAAATTTAATAATAGTATTGATAACACTTTGTGGGGGGTCTCATATTGGTGACTTATTGCAGTGACAAGATCAGACCACTTTATGGCGCGCATTTTGTCAGTGCTGATGATTCAGTCTGCTGTCGGCAGTTACAGCAGCAGTCTGTGAGAAGTGTTGTGTCCACTCTATGCTTCTGCCAGGGTCATTGTATAATGAATGAATTATGATCATGAACCATTACAGAATCACCAATATGAGACCCCACATATGAAGCAATTCTGTAGCTGCTGAACATGAGTGACATTTTTCAATACATTCCAATTTTGTTTAAAATTGAAGAAAAGTACATGGTGACCTTCATGCATTTTTGAGGGTACCTCAAGTGTAGCTCTTCAAAAATATGTATTGCAAGCAAGAATTGTTTTGGACAGAAGTTATAGAGAAGACTAAAACGTAAGTTTTGAGGTTTTCATGGCGATGACAATGAAGAAAGTCGTCTTCTGGGTTTAGGCACCGTGTATTCTTCGTTTTGGCCGATGTTTCGGAGGAACGTAGCGCCTCCATCTTGAGAGCAGTTGAATGGCTTGGAATGCGGAGAGCAGTAGCTGTGGTGCCTAAACCCAGAAGACGACTTTCTTCAAGACTAAAACGTGTTTTATATCCAGTGCAGTTCTTTTTCACAAATCTTATTAAGTTTGAGATAATTAAACAAAAGTGATCCAGTACTTACATATCTGAACATGTGTATTCAGCACTCAATAGTGCTGTCCCAAACACACCCAAAGATTACCTCAGTCTCACTTATTATTGAAAATTAAATTTCTCCCACCCAGAGTTTTAGGCCACAGGTAGGTAAATATATATTGTAATGTGTCTGGAATCCAGAAGAGTCACTTCTATGGAAACACTAGAATAGACCGTTACATAGGAAACAGCAGTTGCTCTATTGTAGTTCTAACAGGAGTCTCCACGGTTATAACAGAGGGTTCATTTGCATAGCAGCAGCCGAGGTTATAAAATGGGGTTGAATGCATTTGAACAGTTAGTCTGAATCCAACCGCCGAAGAAGATAGTTTGGCATTAGGCTCCATAGAAGAAGCAGTCTGTTATAAGCCGCCGAAGAAGACAGTCCAGTATTGCCGAGACATTGTGTAAGCAGTAATTGTAACACTGCAAGAGCTAATGATTGTAAAGTGTGTAAGGTGAGCGAGTGGAATAAATCTGCTACATCAAACACGGTGTAAACTTATTTGTAGCATGACACACAACACGCTACATTGGTGTCAGAAGTGTTTTACGAACTTAAACATGCGACGAGTGCAACGAATTATTCTGCGCCTAGTGCTACCCTACGAAAGGAAAAATGGAACATGTGTTAGAGCTCTTGAAGTCTATGCAAGAAAAAGCAGACGCCAACCAGGCCAAGGCTGACGCCCGACATGAACAGGCGGAGGCTGATAGGATGGCCAAAAGGGAAGAAAGGAAGGCACAGAGAGAGACTGACCGAAAGGAACTGAAAGAAATGATGGAAAGGATGATGCAGTCCATAGTGGAGCACCAAGAGGTACCCGGACAAGAAGCCATGGTGATGCTGGTCAAAGAACCCGTAAAAGAAACACCGAATACCCGCAATGAGACGTTGGCCTGCCAAGAGATGGAGGCACGTCAAGAAGAGGGAAAGCCGACCTCAGTGGAAACGAAACCTGAGGCAACACAGAGGAAAGAGGTCCCCGTAGTAGACGCCACGATAATGCCGGTCGGAGAACCGAGGAAATGGCGCAGGGACCGAAAACTGGCCGTGGAGCGCCACCGCCAGAAAGTGAAGGATTCGGCAGGGGAAAATCATGGGCCACACAAAGAATTGGCCATTGCCCACGGAGGAACTAACCGCTGCGTGGAAGTGGCACGGCAGAAAAAAAACTGCAGGAAGACATTCCGTCGCGCGACAGTGGCACGACGCTGGAGAAATGCCTCCAAGAAGGAAACTCCCCAGGGAACCTTCGGATGCCAGCGGAAAGAAGTGGCCGCCACCGGAATAAAGATAACATGCTGTGCAGGACACAGGCGTTACGGACAAAACAATGGCAATGTGGTAACTAGGATCCCCAAAAAATGAATGTTTGGCATGAGATATCAAACGAGACTGGAATGTAAAAGACGGCATCAAGGACCGAGGCGGCAAGCGGTCTCTATACGAGAAAAAGAAGAGAGCAACCGCCATCAATATTGGAGGGAGCAGCTCAAGACACCTACCACCAGCGGGAGAAATAGGGCCCGCCCATAAGACCCTCAAGAAGATGCTAGAGCTAAAAATCATGAAGGGAGCAGCTAGGACATTCTGCAGATTGCGAAAGGGGAGAGAATTGACACTGAGGAGGTATCAGCGTTTTTCGGAGCGTCAGTACCTGAATTGGACACTGTGGAGGGGTCGACCCCCTCCAAAACGGAAAAAGGAAAACGGTCCGTATGGGAGGAAACGGTAACATAGAAATACCGGCCTCCCCAACAAGGATGAATGGAGAATGGAAGTGAGGAATGAATGTAAAACAACGAGATCGACAAATCCTCGGCTACAGGAGTGCTCGGGGTGAGCACCACTGAAGAGAAGGGCGGATGCGGTAGAATGAACAGCGCAAAAAGACGCACAAAGGACACCAAGACCAAATGCAGACGTTGCCAGCAGAACACCGCGGAATCGAAACCGTGGGAGAACCTTTAGGCTGTTCGGGGACAAACAACCTTTAGAAGGGAGCAATGTAACGTGTCTGGAATTCAGAAGAGTCACTTCTATGGAAACGCTAGAATACACCGTTGCATAGGAAACAACAATTGCTCTATTGTAGTTCTAACAGGAGTCTCCACGGTTATAACAGAGGGTTCATTTGCATAGCAGCGGCCGAGGTTATAAAACGGGCTGATATGNCCAGGACGATGGATAAAGTCCAAAAACCCAACATATCAGTGTGTTATACACCATCGTCAGAATCCTATAGTAACTACTTATAAAACGGGGTTGAATGCATTCAAACAGTTAGTCTGGATCCATCCGCCGAAGAAGATAGTTTGGTATTAGCCTCCATAGAAGAAGCAGTCTGTTATAAGCCGCCGAAGAAGACAGTCCAGTATTGCCAAGACATTGTGTAAGCAGTAATTGTAACACTGCAAGAGCTAATGATTGTAAAATGTTTAAGGCGAGTGAGTGGAATAAATCCGCTACATCAAACACGGTGTAAACTTATTTGTAGCGTGACACACACAACACGCTACAATATATTTACTCAAAATATAAATGATCATGCTGTAGAAGTCATTCTTGATCATAATAGGTCAGTCTATACAGATACAAATATTTCAATTATTTCAGCAGTAATTACTGTTCCCCTCGTTGGTGTCTCCACCTTATCGTGGTGAGGGTGTTTGAGTATGCCAAGGACCCTGAGAGCTATACCAGCGGTAGCGTAGCTACTGGCAGGGCCTCCCTTGCTGGACAGGTCAAAGGGTAGGCATCAGACGAAGAGAGACACCGAAAACTGATGCCGGAAGCAGCGTCATCAGCGGCGACTTGAAGCACAGAGAAAATGATGCTCGAGATGCTCGAGATGGTTCAAGTTCGTATAGCAACAGGCATGACCAGAGTGGTTTGAACGGTTGTTTACTGCGATGTGGAAAGCAAATGGAAAAACTACCACATTATCACTATTCCTGGATAGTCTGTTTCCAAAAACAGAAGATCGCATTAAGTGGAGAAACTGTTTTGGAAGAGGCTGTGGACCTGTCATCTGACAGATTACTGATGAATGAATGAATTACTGTTATTCTTGATTTAGCTTACACTGCGTCAGAATCAGATTTTCTTTATTCTTATAATACATTGCTGTATTACAGCATGTTTTTCAAGCATATATTGAACAAGAAGAATGCCATCTTCTGGGATGAGGTGCTGTGTAGATCTTGTGCGAACTGACATCTTGGAGGAATGTGTCACCTCCATCTTCAGGGTAGATAAATCTGTGAGTGAGAATGCAGGAACCTGCTCACACTGGTTCCTCACTATTGGATTTTTCTACCCTAAAGATGGANGGGGGGATACGTTCCTCCGAATTGTCGGTTCACATAAGATCCACACAGCACCACATCACAGAAGACAGCAATCTTCATAGTTACTACTGTGAAACCCTCAAATCTTACATATACTGCACAAGTTATATATATTTAATTTTCTTGTATTGTATAATAATTTTGAATGTGGTCTAGTGGTCAGAGTTCCTGGGTTCGATTCCCGGCGCTACCAGATTTTCTGAGGAATAGTGGGTCTGGAACGGGATCCACTCGGCCTCATAAGGATAAATGAGGAGCTGTTTCAAGTAAATAGGGACTCTGGTCTAGAAAACCGAAATTAATGGCTGTGGGGATCCGATGCACTGACCACATGACACCGTCTATCCGCAAAAGTTGGCACTAACTTCATCGACAAGCTGCGGTCACTCGATCGGTATAGTTCGCTTGTGGACTACAGACCACGGAAGCTGTAGTATTAATTGATTGCTTATTCAGTCTTGCTAGTCTGTGGGCCCCTTTTGCATGTTATGAAAGAAAGTTCTTCTGATTGAGCACTTTTTGTTTTTTTATTTTCTGATCATTCCTGTTCGCACAGACCACTGTTGTCTCTCCCAGTGATAGGTTACAAACATGTCCAAGCCTTCTTGGCCATGGTGAATGGAAAAATTAAATCTAGTAACCAGCATAAAACATAGTACAGATAAAGTGTCACATTACAAGCATATTGAACTGGTGTTTTATGTGAAGTTATGTTTCCTCTGTGTATAGCTGAGGATATCAAATTTGATGCGAGTGCTGGGGACAGAAGCAGTTCGGGATCCAACCAAGGTAGAAGCCCATGTACGAGAACAGATGGCTAAGCGCCAAAAGGCTCATGAAGAAGCAAATGCCGCGAGGAGGCTGACTGCTGACCAGAGGAGAGAAAAGAAAGTGCGCAAATTAAAAGAGGACACTACGTTAGGTGTCAGTGTAGCTGTGTACAGGTGCTGTAAACATTTAATATTTAATTTTTTTTGCACTTCTGTACACTATATTTAGCACATTTAATGTGTAAAATGACTTTGTTTCTATTGCAGGGTAAAGGAATTGTCAAATGCATCAAAAAAATTTAAGGTAGAAACAAATGCCAAGCAGCTGTTTATGACTGGCTGTGTAGTATTATTTAAAGACTGCAATGTTGTGGTTGTGGAAGGTGGTACAAAGCAGCAAAAGAAATATAAAAGGTAAGTTGGAAGGTGTAATTTATGAAAATTGTGAAAGGTTAATGGAAGTTCAGAATCTTAAGATGTATAGCTCTGTGGTAAGTAGAAGGTTGGAGGGAGAGAGAAGAAATTGGCGATTCTTAACAATATTGAACATCTATTTTGTATTAGTTGCAAGGACCCAGGCCTTGCCTGGGTTAAGTTGGCAGTGTCTGTTTAGACTGAACACAGCACATTGAAATGGTAATGATTTGGCAAAAATTTCTTTGGTGTCCCATACAATAATCCCAGACAAGTCAGATTCCTACACAAATGCAATTACAAGTCATGTTATTTCAAACGGCAATAGCTTCCCCATAAAAATCTACATGAATTTATTTTTATTATGCCTATAGTAATTTATCATATGCAGTTGTTCATATTGTGCTTCAGTTTTTAATACCAAGTAAATACAAAGACAGTTTTTACATACCTATATATGTGAATATATGAACCAACCAACCAAATCTTATTAACAGTATCTAGCATTACAAGCACACTAAAATGCTCTTATATGAACCTTCCTTTGGTATCCCTTGCAACAGCGTAAACACTCTATAGTCTTTACAAAATGCAATTGGAAGTCACTTTATTCAAGGTAGCAATGGCTTGCCCATGAAACTGCATATTAATTTATTTTTATTGTGCTTATGGTAAATACACTCAGTGCCAAAAGTCATGGGATAGCAGTATGTAAATTTATTTTTAAGTGGCGCCACCGTCCCATGATGGCTTGGGAATGCCCAGAGCAGTATCAGTTGTGAGGTGTTCTCTCGTGAGTCAGGTTGAACACTGGCCAGTCTGCTCATGGCAAGCCGACATGAATTATCGGAGTTTGAATGGGGCATGATAGTGGGTGCCAGGCGGACGAGACATTCCATTTCTGAAGTTGTGCGGTCATTCAACATTTCTCGATCCACGGTATCACGTGTGTACCGGGAATACCTTGTGGAAGGCATTTCCACCCACCGTGGACAGCGCAGTGGCCGACCACGGCTGCTTAATGATCGTGACCAGCAGCATCTAGCTAGAATTGTCCGTGGTAACAGACAAGTGACACTGGCTGAAGTCACATCCACAGTCAATGCAGGAGGTACCAGATGCATATCCAGCAGGTCAGTGCACCGTTCTTTAGCTTCTATGGGATATGGGAGCAGAAGACTGACCAGAGTGCTTCTGTTAACACCACGACACCGGACACAGCACCTCACCTGGGCTTGTGGACCCTGGAGGATTGGCAACACGTGGCATGGTCCGATTAGTCATGGTACCATTTGTTTCTGGCGGATGGTAGGGTTCAGGTGTGCTGCAGACCTCATGAGGCCATGGACCCCAGTTGTCAACAAGGCACTGTGCAGGCTGGTGGTGGTTCCATACCGGTGTGGGGTGTGTTCATGTGGCATGAGTTGGGTTCACTCGTCCACCTAAACATGTCATTGACCGGTGACCCATACGTTACACTGCTTGGTGACCATTTGCAGCCCATCATGGACTTCATGTACCCCCACAATGATGGGATATTCCAGCAGGACAGTGCACCATGTTATCGGACCAGAGTTGTCCAGAATTGGTTTGAGGAGCATTCTGGAGAGTTCCGACGAATGGTGTGGCCACCACGTTCGCCCGACATGAACCCAATCAAGCATTTATGGGACGTAGTGGAGAGGTCCATTCACACCCAAAATCCTGCACCTACAAATACTAGGGAGCTGTGGGCGGCTATCCAGACAGCATGGCTCAACATCTCTCCAGAGGTCTTCTGTCCACTTGTGGAATTGATGCCACATCGAGTTGCTGCACTTCACCGGGCTGGAGAGGGTCCTACACGATACTAGGTACCTATCCCCATGACTTTTGGCACAATGTAATATTTAAGCATCTATAATTTATTCATATAGAGCTTCATTCTTTAAATATATAGTGAATGTGAATAAAAAAATTGACGAATTCACAGTGACATAACCTAATAGACTCATCCATAATTTGAGTTGTTATCATTAGAGGGCAGCACAGATACTAAATTAATCATGATAATGTTTATTTTTGTCCAAGATATTGCATATATTTCTCTGATCTTTGGAATAAAATTCTTAATTTTATTATTCCCCTCTTATTTGATGCCACATGTATAATTTTATGTTACCTAAGACATGCCAATCACAGTGGTCACACAGTCTGAGGCATGAACTGTCTTCATCCTTTCGAACACTAGGGCTGTGGGTTCACATCCCACCTGAGGCATGGATGTCTGTGTACATTTATTGTGTGTGTAGGTAGTTGCCCTGCAGTGGGTGGATCCCCTGTCCTAGGAGTCCTACTGACTGTATATAAATTAAACTGAAGAAGCTGCGAAGGTCCATAAGGTCCGTAGAGCCATAGATATAGATACCTAAAGCATGAAAATACAGGTGTCCAGATGAAAAGTATCCAACATAAAATAATTATATCTCAGAAAGCATATATTATACACATTTATAGCTTGCACCATTACAAAGGGACACTATCAAAATTTTTTACTTAATATATGGGTGAGGGCACACCAAGGAAACTGGCAACCTCAACACAACTGCAATTTCTGAGAATTGTTCTCAGCCTGAGTTGAACACCTGGAACTGAATGGAGCAGCGCAAATTGAGTACATGGCAGTACATCTCAGTGGAAGACTGAGAAACTCAACTTCCAGGCAACAGAGCAAGCCATTCTTCACACAGTTGCATTGCAGCTTGGTTTCCTAGTGTCAACTGTTCTGTAATGCACTTCAGTGATTCACTTGTTTCTTAAGATGGCATGAAAGGTTGATGAAGTTGCTAATTTTGATTTTGTGCAGCCAGTTGAGCAAGAGACTATGCTAAGCAGAACAGAATAGATTTGGCTTGGGAAAGAATTTTGCATGAGATGAAGATGGTATGTGTGTATATACATATTATGGCTTATTGGCTCTGTGCAGGAACTGTTGAGCCACAGAGGCCTTGAGGCACGCACACAACGTGAGAGTTGCAGATTGTATCGGCGCATTGCTAGGCAACAACTCTGTGCATGCTTGGATGGCGTAACAGGAAGTGAGAGTGATGTCACATACTCCCACTCATCCCATTGCTGCGCAACGCTCGGTAAACACGCCTGACAACAATACCTGATATCTGTTGCCAAGCAGCAGTGTGTTTTCTATGTGGTCTGTGCCGAGCCTATATAAGGAGCAGCGAACACTGTTCAGCCAGTATTGAGTATTCAGTATTCAATATGAGTTATGAGCAGTTGCAAGCAGTTACAAGCAGTATGAGTTGTTCAGTTGTATTAAGTGAATGGAATTGAGACAGTTGTCAGAAGTGACAGTTGAATTCTAGCAGTCACCGAAGTGACAGTTGAAGCCTGGAAGTGACTACAGCAGTAGAAGTAATTGAGACAATGAAATTGTGAACTCTGTAAGTGTAAAAGTGAGTGTGCAATAATTTTGCTAGATCCAAGACCGGCGTGAAGTTATTTGTCGCACGACACACAGCAAAACGTGACAGTATATATATGTATGTATTATAACCAAAACTTATAATATGATCCAAATACAGAATATGTCTGCTAAAGCATTGCCAACTGCTACAGTATGGCCCATGCTGTGTGATACAAGTCAGCAGTTAAGTTAGTCCTCATCCTCTACAAGTATCAGTTGAGTTCAATTAATATAACTCCACTGAGATGGAATTGCTCCTGCTGGTGTTAAGAAATAATCAGCCAGCTGCTTTTGGGCTCTCTTGGTGTCATGACAAATATCCAGAATATATTCCACTTTGTCCCCGCATTGCTTGAAGCATGTTTGGTGTTACTGTAGCTACAGAGTCCCTTATGTGGGCTTTCATCTGATGAAGGTCATTGATCTTAAACTGGTAGACAATGTTCTTCACACAACCCCACAAGAAGAAATCTAATGGGGTTAAATCTGGTGACCTAGGAGGCCAAGTGATCGGTCCACCTCTGCCAATCCATCTAGCCATCTCTCTGTCCAGGTGATTCCTGACATGGTGGCAGAAATGCGGTGGCTCATGTGCATAAGCTGGGCATGAGATAAAACTTTCAGAGTTTTCCTTTCCGATGACATAAACTGGATACAGTATAACAATTAGTTTATGAGATATAAATTTTTTATTTTGGATACCTTTCATCTGGACACCCAGTACATGGTGTGAACATGTTTCATTCCCATTATTACATAATTGCCATCTTGTTTTTCACACAGAAGTATCACTGAGATGTAAATTCTTTATTTGCTGCTTGTAAGCAGAAGGGATGTACACCCAAGGTGTGCACTGTCAAGTTTCCGTAAGTTTGCACGCTAAGTTCAAGGTTTCTAGGCTCCTTGATTTTGAGACGCATGTTACAGTGAGTACTTATAATATTTGAAAATGGTTCAAATACATAATCTTCAAGCTGAACTTCTAATTACATATATTGCTATGTGGCACTAAGATTAAAAAAATAATGCAAACATAGTAAACGGTGTTAATTATTTTGTGTTTTTGCAGTGAAAACTTAGATATGCCCATATTAGCTTCACCTTGTTTGTTCATCCTTCTGTCTGCATATAAAGAACTCAGAACTGCTGAAAGTGTTTTAGTACATTTGGTTGATGTTGGGAAATTCTTCTAAAAGTGTCAGCATATTCAGTTCCAATTAAAATTTGACAACGATAAATAACACTACCAGAATACATTTCTATGCACTTCTCACTTGTAGTACAGGAATTTTTAACTTTTTATCAGAATGAAAGCTGTTTTGAACAAAAGCTGGAGATTAATAAAAGAAAGCTCACTTTACATGTCTGGTGCACTTTTCCAGTAAGTTGTATGGTTCTTGAGTTTATGAAACAAAATGGATTTTATGCTGTTGGCAGCAAGCAGTAGAGCAAATAAAAGAAAGGTGCAGGGTATGGTGTAATGGTATGTTTATGGACTGCGAGCTACTTATAGCGTAGGAAATGAGCCTGCAGTCACAGTTAAAGCAAAAAGGTAGTGCCTGCTTAGTAATTGCTTGTTATGATGAAAGTGCCAGAAACGGTACCCTTATTTATATGAGACTTTTCCATATAACATTACTATATTGATGATGTTGATGCTAGTTTCTCATTATAAGCCATACTTGTTCCATTGTTTATAAAGATCCTACATATATGCAGAAATGTCTGAGAAGTTGATAATCCATGACATTTTCTGTTTGAAATGTTTTCCATAGAATTTGAACCATTGCACAAACCATTTCGGATGATCTCTGAGCAGTCAGTAAGCAGTCTTCTAATTTGTTTAAATAGCTACTTCTATTAAAGTACCATTGAAAAGGGGGCTGATGACACAAGCACCCCAGGTCTCCTGTATACCATCTTCTGCATTTACAGATGCTGTCTTCAGATAACACGTAGTCTTACAGGCCTTAATAATTCAATAAGTATTCAGTTGTTTGACATCTTCAGCTACGTATAAAGTGTAGTTTTGTCCAGTCACACCTGTAGGTTGCAGAAGGTCTTGCAAAAGAAGAAAAATACAACTTGCACTGTGGCACAGCAGAATAGTTGTTTCCATTTGAAGGATCCTTGTCAAATAAAACTGTTGCATTTATAACGTAGGCTACAGAATGTCTGAAACATGTTCACACAAAAATTGCTTTTACACGTACATTCAGAGCTATATGAAGAAATATCTGTGTATCTGTTCTTTATTTTAATTCCATAAATCCTTACTTGCTTCCAAAGCCATCAGATATAGAACATGTCGCATATGCATATGTTAGTTTAAACACAGAACTAGACACCTTACAACTACATTCATAAAAGAAACAATAATTAAACATAATGCAGTAATTTAACAAGCATATAGGACGCATCAACTTGACAGTAATACCTTATTGAGATCATAGCTTAAATATGTAAACCTATATTAGATTATAATAAATTAATTTATACAGTGTACCATAAAACAGCATTATAAAAGGTTTCATTCATCTTGTATTTAAAATATTCATCTAAAATATAAAATGAATGGAAATACAAAAAATGTTTCAAGGCTACTTTGAATTGTTTTGTATTATGAGACAAATTCTTTATTGGAACAGGTAAACTGTTAAAACACCTTAATCCCAGTATAATATGTTCCCGTCTGATAAACTGACAAATAAGACAGTGGATGATGCACATCAGATTTGGTCCACATATTAGTATCTCAGAATTTACTTCAAAATGATGATTATTATTGATCACAAACACTGAAAGTGTGTGTGTGTGTGTGTATATATACATATACATACATACTGAGATTGTAGTGGTAATATTTCTAATTCTCTAAAATATTCTCTACACGAATCTCTATCTCTAATCCCCACCATAATTCTAATTCTTTTGTAGTCTAAACATTATATTGCTATAACAAGAATTTTCCCAAAATATTAGTCCATAAATCATGATAGAGTGAACACAGGAATAATATACCACGTTCAGTGATTCTTGGGACAAGAATGGCTTAATTGTTCTAATCATGAAATAAGCTGAACTTGATTTCGTTACAACTGTATCTATATGAGTATTCCAAGAACATATGTTGTCCAGTGTTAGTCCAAGGAATTTTGTATTACAAATATCCTTTATATTATAATAAATGATACAAACTCCGTCCTAAGTGCAAACAATATATATTATATGTCTTTGATCTTGTTCTTTCTACACTACATGTTTCGGCCTCTATCGGCCATCATCAGGTGTATACTCTTAACGTTGCTGCCACACTGAACCCAGTCTAAAATTTAACATTTAAAAACACAATGTCACATTCTTCGTATTATCAACATCTACATCGTTGATATGTGTCTGGTATGTAGATTATGTTGCACACGTCAAATTTGATATTCTTGTAGTAGCACTCTAAAAATCTTTAGTTATGATGTTTTTAAAACCTTTTAAAATTTTCTCTAAATTTTAAATTTAAAATTTAGAGAAAATATTTTGTTACTACAAGAATATCAAATTTGACGTGTGCAACATAATCTACATACCAGACACATATCAACGATGTAGATGTTGATAATACGAAGAATGTGACATTGTGTTTTTAAATGTTAAATTTTAGACTGGGTTCAGTGTGGCAGCAACGTTAAGAGTATACACCTGATGATGGCCGATAGAGGCCGAAACATGTAGTGTAGAAAGAACAAGATCAAAGACATATAATATATATTGTTTGCACTTAGGACGGAGTTTGTATCATTTATCGTGTAGAGTGCAACAGGATGCTTAAATATAATATCCTTTATTTTATTGTGTAAGAAACATATTTTTATATTTTTAAATGTGTTTGTGCAGTGGAATTGAAAGTTAAAAAAATGTGATACATTGTGATAAATGGGCCTGGCTGAAGTTTAATTTCCTTGTACTCTAACAACAAAAAGAAACTGAAGTATTTAGAAGAAAACTCTGTATCCCCATTAATTTACATTTGTAACAGATCTCTTTCAGCTGGTGTCTTTCCCACTCAGTTGAAATATTCAGAAATAAAACCATTATTTAAAATGGAGATAAAACTAATATGACTAACTACAGACCTATATCATCACTAACATCCTTTTCAAAAGTTGTTCAAAAAGGTTATATATTCAAGAATGAACCGACATATAGCGAGTAACAACATATTAGCAAATGAACAGTATGGTTTTAGGAGTAATTCATCTACAGAAATGGCCCCATATAAATTAATTAATGATATATTAAATTATGCTGAATAACAACATATTAGTTGGTGGCATTTTCTGTGAGTTGAAAGCTTTTGACTGTGTCAATTATGATATTTTACGGTGTAGACTGGAATTTTATGGAATAGTTGGTAAGGACAATTCATTGGTAAAATTCTACCTCAAAGAGAGATACAAGAGAGTTGTAATTAATAACTGGCATGTTCATTCCACATGGGGCAAAGTTAATAATGGTGTTCCCCAGGGATCAGTTCTGGGAACTTTATTGTTTCTTTTATGTATAAATGACTTTTCAAACATTATAATTAGTAAATCCAAAGTTGTTCTTTTTGCAAATGAAAAAAAAAAAGAACTCCTTGGCCTGTAGTCTGCAAGTGAACTATACTGACCACCAGCATAATTATCATGAATTCCAGCCATTTAGATTATGAAACAACAACATTCAAATATTTAAGAACATAAATGATGATTTAAAGCTGATTTATTGACACTAAACTTCAATAAAACATATTTTATACAATTTTTGACTAAGAATAGCTATGCAGTGGATATACATATTGACTGTGGTAACAGTCGGATTGCTAAATCGGCTAATACCAAATTTCTTGGATTAATTATCAACTACATATCATGAAAGGGACATGTCGCCTGGCTTATGTCTAAATTAGGTTCAGCCTGTTATGCAATGAGGGCTGTTAAACCTTATGTGTAATACGAAACAATAAGAATAATTTATTTCTCATATTTTCCCTCTGTTATGACTTATGGTATAATTTTCTGGGACAGTTCTCCCTGTATTATTTATATTTTTAGGCTACTGAAGAAGGTAATTAGAATTATTACTAATTCTAAAAGCAGAGACTTGCAGGGATTTGTTTAAGAAACTGAAAAATTTGCTCCTCCAATCACAGTACATATTTTCTCTTTTGTTATTGTTAAAAACAGATAACAGTTTAAATCTAACTCTGAGATTCATAGCATTAATACAAGACACAATTACAATCCCCATTATCCAGTATGTAATTTAACAGTATTCCAAAAAGGAACATATTATTTTGAATCGAGGCTTTTAATAATCTTCCTTCTAGCATAAAGAACTAGCTCATGATACAAAACAATTTAGATTTGCTTTAAAAAATGTATACTTTTAAATTAATTTTATTCATTGGAAGAATATTTTAACTTCAATGTTAATTAATGATCTTGATCTGTTATATGCTGGATGGCTACCAGCACATTTTTATGTTTGATTATTGTAGTCTTGTTTGATATTACTATGTTGCTTGCTTTAACACATATATTTTATAACTGTTTAATGATTTACTCATTGTGATTTGTCCAGGATAACATGTGTAATTGTGATGGATTAGATATAATTCATTTGCATTTATGTAATTGATGAGACTTATTTTGTTGTCGTTGACTATTCCTATAGCCACTGGTCTTACAGCCATGTAAGGATCCATGGAATGTAAATGAATGAATGAGTAATGTGAGGGGAATGAATTTTGGCATAGGATGTTGAAAAATATTCAACATACTAAACCAAAAACTTATTGCAGCATTTTGTTGCAATTGAAAGTTGTCAATGTTTCTTTTTACATTACATTGCATTCCATGGATCCAAAGTTAGTCAAATGACTGTATGATGTGGAATATGTCATATAAATACAAAACATATGTACAGACCCAATGGAGTTCTCCCACAAGAGAAACCAAGAATACACAGTGACTACACACAAGGCTATTTAAAGATACATAAGTTATTTTCTAGACAATAGGTATTCATCAACAGAGTAGAATGAATGTGTATTTAAGTATTGTTTCAATGCTATTTTAAATCGTGCCTTTTCATTCATAAGACCTTTGAGATCAGATGTCAGGTTATTAAAAATGTTGATGACTGATGCTTTCTTTGCAGGCTAATGCTTAACAGGATAAAATGGGAAGAAGACACAGTGAAAGACAGTGATGGGAATGAATCTGTCAACAAGTGTTTCTTGGTTTGGGAGGTGAGATGCTTCTTATTTTAAGCAAATGTGTGATGCTAGAGTTACATATTTGTATGTCGTTTATATGTGCCAGCAGTCAGTCATAGTTCTCTTGTGGTTTGTACATCATCATGATAAGTTGCATTTCTAGGTGTAGCTATTTAAATGCTGCAAACTTTACAACTTTATTTCCATTCTTATTACAAGCTATTAGGTACAATATGGCTTTCAACCTATGTATTTAAATCACTAGTTATTACTAAAGAGAAACTTCTCTTTATGTATTATTGTAATTCTCAGTATAAGTAAGTCTTCAGCCTTTTCTTGGTATACTCCTTCAGAACGACTGGCTCCTCCTACTTCATTTTGGTGTCCTTACAGCATTTTAAATCTTGCAATAATTTATTTACATAACCATACGAGGTGCTGTCGGAAAGTTTCCAGACTAGGTCAAAAAAATTCTGGCATAACTTACTCATTTTTGGCTGCCATCTCCTTTGAAATAGTCTCCTTGGGAATGTATACAGCAATCCTATCATTTTTTCCATGCACCGTGGAATTCATTTTCCTTAATGCTGTCAAGTACTGCTTGCGATTCCATTTGGATATCAGACACTGTTTCAAAACATCATCCCTTCAGTTTCATTTTCAATTTGGGAAACGAAACAAAATCACAAGGGCCTAAGTCCAGTGAGTAGGGAGGATAGGGAACCATAACCATGTTGTTAGTCACAGACTCTCGTTTTCAGGTACATGTCAGTGGACGAGTTGTCGTGATGAAGGAGCAGTGTGATGCATGTTCAAATTTTATGTTAAGATGTCATTGCAAACTCCGTAACTGATCCCAGTGGTGTCTGCAAGCTCATGGATTGTTTGGCGACAGTCTTCATTAATGAGTTCTTACATTTTTTCAACATTTTCTGTTTTTTTGCTGGTGCGTGGTTGCCTTGAATGTTTGTCATCTTCAGCTGACCCTCGATTGGCCTTGAAACACGAATGTCATTCAAAATCCACTGACTGGCTTAAAGAATGTTCTCCAAAAGCCTCACAAAGCATTTCAGATGTTTTGGTAGAGGATTTACTGAGCTTCATGCAAAATTTTATGCAGACAGATTGCGTGATTTTGCCATGCATTGCAGACAAAATGAAACATGAAGTCGAAAAAGCACTCTTGTCAAAACAGTGCCTGTTCACAGTGTGGTGTTACGTGGCAAACTGATGCAATATGCTTGTGGAAGTGTGACCGTGGCCTCCCCTCTCATCGTTTACTGAGGCAGTTAAACAGTAACATTATGGAAACTTTCTGATACGATCTCACAGATAGTGAATTTTAGAATCGATTTTAGAACTTGAAAATATTTGTCACACAACTTGTAGTGAGTTCACTTCATATTTTTTACATTATGATGATTTCTGAGCTTTGTTTTCCAGGGGACTGTGAAACAGAGAAACTTTGGTGATATGAAATTCAAAGTGTGCCCAACAGAGAAGTTAGCAAGGGAACACTTCAAGAAGCATGGAGTGGAGCAGTACTGGGACCTGGCATACAGTGGTGCAGTTCTTGAAGCAACCGATGATGTATAGTAGCTTCCCTCATCTGTCCAGACAAATATGATGCAAATGTTTATACAAAGTCAAAGGTATTAGTAAATTGTGAATTCATTACGAATAAGAAATGTTGTTATACTTGTAGCAGTTAATTCAAATTGTATTCCCTGTTCCTGACATTCTTTGAAGGGTCATGGTATGTAAAGCAGAAGCTGGTTTCATTGCTGCTACAACTGATAATCATCAAGATAGATGTTATCTTAAATTTACATATGCCCTACCTCACTCCATGGGGCAGAGTTCTTCTTGAGAAATTGATAGTTTTTCAGCTAGTCGAGAAACACTCTGCCTTTTATGGAACTTCTAGGTTCATTATTTTTTCATAAGAATGCATTCTGTTTGTGTTTTGTTTTAAGTGATAAATGAACTGGACACAAATTTACAATAAAAACCTTTTCATTTGTTTATTTCTTATCATAAATTATATGTTTCAGCCAAAAATGGTCATCCATTAGGGGATGTATACAAATCAACCAAATACAGTGGATTCCAGTTAATAGGGTCACTGGTTAATTGTGGCAGTCATTTATTTGGGCAGATCCTGGAGAAAGAAAACGAATTGAGAATATAACAAGAATTCAGAATTTGCTTAGTTTATTTGGGACACCATGCCATTTAATTGGGCCACTAGCTGCCACATGGTGCAGTTGTGAATATTATATCACCAGTCACTGACTCTGTATAAATGGATCTACAATGGCATGTGCAGTGATTTATTTTTATTTAACATTTTAAATCCCCACAGAAATGCCCAGGAGAGGTGTAACACTCACTGACAAAATTGCCTCACTGGAAAAAATTAAAAACCAGCCACCTAACACCAGTCATCACCACCTGGTGGAGATAGGGTGCAGAAATCTACAATTGCATGTGTTATACAGCAGCAAGAGGAACTGCGAGATGAATGGACATTACACCATGGACAACAGGGATCTTTCCAAGAATGTAAGTGTGGATTTAAGGATCCAGATGTTCAGGAGGCCCTCAGTCAGTGGTTCTGTATTGTAACTGGACAGTGTATGTGTCAGTGGACCACTGTTGAGAAGCAAGTCACAGGATTTAACCAAAAAGTTGCTGGGTCATAACGATTTCAAAGCAACAGATGGTTTGTTGACTCGATGGAAATTCAGGTTTAGGATAAAATTCAGAAAGGCACACAGCAAGAAGGACCGTGCTGATGCTGTAATTGCTGAACAGTGGAAGTAGACAAGGCTGCCAAACTTGCTTCAGAAATTTTGTGCAGATGATATCTACAGTGCTGATGAAACAGGTTTATTTTATCATGCCATGCTGGATGATTCCCTAAGCTACAAACATACAGCTGTATCTTGTTCAAAGACAGCAGTGGATCATGTAACTGTTGTGCTGCTCATACATGTCAGGAACTGATAAACAAAAGCTTTGGTTACCAGGAAAATGGCTAAGCCTCTGTGCTTTAAGGGGGTTAGTATGGACAGTTTCCCAGTTCTATACTATGCTAACAAAAAGGCGTAGATGACATCTGAAATTTTTAAGAACTGGCTAATGAGTTGGGACTTGGAATTGCAATTGAAAGCAAGGAAAATTTTACTGGTTATTGACAACTGTGCGCCCACCCTCATTTGGATTCTTGGAAATATATCCAGCTGGAATTTCTGTCTCCCAACACCACATCCCTAGCTGGAATTTCTGTCTCCCAACACCACATCCCTGGTACAGCCAATGGACATGGGAATTGTACAAAATTTGAAGACCTTATATCACACAAAAATAAAGTCCTACATTTCATTCAAAGTAAAGGATTAAAAAAAGGGTTATTCCCAAGGGGAAGCACAATAGGTCTTTGAAGGTTGCAGTGCGAGGGCCGGTTTTTATGGCTCACCCCTCATACTCGTATGTCACTCAAAATTGCTAAACTACATCCTAGAAGCAATTCAAGAATATATACTGACATAATCCTCACCAGCTAAGGAGACCAGTGCAAGGATTGATATTTTAGAAGCAGCACAGTTTATTGCCATAGTTGGCGAAGAGTAAATACCAAGACCATTCAGAACTGCTTTGCTCACTGTGGTTTAAAACACTCAGACTTGTAGATGCTGAATAAGGCCGAAAGCGAAAATGGCATCATATTGGAAATGAACCACGCCTGAAATTATGGAGAGTTTTCGTCCATTGACGATAGTCTTCAAACTTATAATGAAAATGAAGATTGTTAGAAGTGATTGTTGAGTAAATTGCAGTGAAACACCAGACTACATCAGAAGAACAGGAAACTGATGAGGACAATATGACCGAGCATGAACAAGTCTGTACCCATGATGCTTGGAAATTTATTGCTGGACTATGACTTTATTTGTGCAGGAGGGCAATGAAGGCAGTCTGGAAACTTGAGCTGCTTTTGTCAGTTGCACTCAATCAAGAGAACATGGCAGGTATACTCATTCAGTTCCTCCAACGTCACTAACCGTTAGGAAGCATATGGGTGTTTAATACGTAAATTAATCAAATTTGTTTCTAGACTAAATATTTTTCTGTGATTTGCACCAATTATGTCAGCTCATCTAAAAACAGTATTTTTGCTGTGCAGTAAACTGAAAGCTTATTTTTTGTCTTATAAACTAATAAACACCATAAATGAAACTGGGGAGTGGCCCAAGGACTTTACAGAAGTGACAATGATTGCCTTAAAGAAAAAGACAAAAGCTACAAAATGCAGCGACCATCACACAATAAGCCTTATTGTGATTGCATTAAGTGGAGGAACTGTTTTGGAAGAGACTGCGGACCTGTCGTCTGACAGATTAGTGATGAATGAATGTACATATACCTTTTTAACCCTTTGCTGCAACTTTATATATTTTGGGCAGCAACTAAATTGGGGCAGAGTACTCTAGTCCCGATGTGTCCCAATTAATTGGAATCCACTGTATATTGAGTAAAAATTTGTTTAATATGGGAATGTAAGAAAGTAGATAAAATAGTAATGAATTAGGTGAGATTTGGCTTAATTTTACAAGGACATGAGTATAAAATGGACAATGTTTGTCTAAGTATAAATATTCTCCAGTATTTTGGGGGTTATATGTTTTTATTTAATTCAAATTTTGATATAATTGGTACTTCACATTCTTGTAACATACTTCTGATTTTCTGTGTATAGTTTTTCTTGGTCAGTCTAAGTTAAATTACTTGTATGTTGTCACACTCCAACTGTACTAATATATAGATTATTGCTTTTGAGAACACACATTACATGTCAGCACATCAGCCCTTGCCTTTAGATATATGTATTGTATTACATAAGTCAACACCAGTTACATAAAAAAGAAACTACTTAGAATGACGAAAAGGGAACACACACACTTGTGACTTAATGTTATCATTTAGCTTAGACTGACCAAAAGAAAATATATACAGAAAAGTTAAAATATAATAAAATATGAAGTATAATAGTATAAAAAATGAAGGGTCTTGTCCCCCACGAGATGAATCTAGTTCATTGTTGTCAACCCATCTACTCCTAAGTCATTTTACCTTCTCCATGGCTGTCTTATCTCATCATCCTTCATTTTGACATCCTAATTGTACAAATTATGGAGCCCATTGTTATGCAGTTTCATCCTCCTTTTAGCTTACATATTGTAATTGATGTGATAATCTTCCTTGGAATTGTGAATTCTGTATACCGAAATCTTCGTCTGTCTTGATAAGCTCTCTTAAAATTTATACATTACTAATGCACCGGTCCATTATACTCCAATTTCTTCTATTGAATGCAAGAGGTATTATTAGTAGTCAGCAGTTTATTATGATATCATTATTGATGATCATTCTTGAATGGTGTTCATGCCAGAAGAATGAATATTGGGTAATAGATAAAGGAGAGATGGCTCAGAAATTACTGTGGTCAGTTTTATCACCATTCTGATGTGTAAATGCAATAGTACAGTTTTATGTTGCTGTGGCAGTTCTACTGTATTCCAAGTATGGGTAGAAACATCAGCAGTGAAAATGAATACAAACTGATTATAATCTAGTTTCTCCTTCTTTCACAAATCTTTCCCATTGGATAACACCACACTCTCTGTATCAACCTCTTTCTTCCTCTGCCTGTGACACTTTCACTCTGAAGATGAAGACTGCAAGGCATGCTGAAATGTCAGAACATCTTCGCCATATGTCTGCAAAAATTCTAAATGCCAAAGTTACCTATTTACTTGATGTACCTCTGAATGCAGTGCTTGCCACATACTTGCAGTCAGGTGCAATGAAATAATGCCTCAAGATTTTTAATGTTTCATTCCATTTTCAGTGGAAGACCTTTGTTATAATTCTCTCAAACTTTTTATTTTTACCGTTTGCTTCCATCTTCATGACTTTGCCTCTTAGATACTCCCTGGCTGAAGATAGCCTAGCAGTACAGAAGAGGCTGTGTCTTTACTAACCTATCCTTTTTATCAATTGCAAATGGCTTGAAGAGAAAAAGCCATGCAATTACAGTGCTGCCACTGGTTAACATAAAGATGCATCCATACCTGCTTTCTGACTAGGAGCAGCCGCTGTTGAACAGCATTGGTTTGCATTTTACATTCATTATTTTGCCTTTTCACTTTCTTGTGGGAAGGTCTGTTACACTTACGTAGGTACTGGCAACAACATTGTAATGACAGTGCCACAGACACAGATTTGTGAAAAGGACTGCATCTAAGTAATATCTATCATTATGGGCTTAACAACACTATTGGAAGATATGCATGAATTCCAGAAATTAACTTCCTCATAAATAATTGCTTCCCTGTGGTAGTTTTTAGGAAACTTACCCTGGTCCTTTGGATCGATACTTTTGACTACCTACATGTGACGGTGATGTGGTTTTGTTGCTTGTGGAATGGTGTACTTGTTCTGGCCTCATTGCACACCCAGTGTGCTGTACATTGCACAAAAGTTGTTGGTAGTTGTGCCTCATGAAAAGCTGCATATTGTTCCTCTGCTTTTCCATAAGTCACAATATTTCAGACTGAGGCAGTGTTCATACATCTGTTAATCCTGACCGTTGATCTATGGTAGCAGTTATATTCCACTTCAATTCCCACCCCACCTTACAGGAAGTGGTACTGCAGCTGACATGCAATGAGATATATAGTAAACCCTCACTAATCCAGTTACAGTTAATCCAGATAAAAATATGAAAAATGCTGTTTACAGTTGAGTACTTTCTTTAAAAGACACATGGCATTTCGGAAGGCAGATGAGTCACTTGTCTTTTCAGACAAAACTTGACAGTTTCTTCAAACATGTAATATTACTTGTACTTTCAGAAACGAGTCCAAATTCTGAGTCTTCTGTTGATTAAGAAAAGTATTGTGTTTTGTAGTTTTTAAATGAAGGCTCTGTAGTGATATTTCTTTATTTTCATCATCACTACTTATAGCATTAAATTTTCCATTTATTTGCATTAAGTTTTTCTACCCTTTCATGACTACCTCTTGCTTCATTAATCTGGATTATCGCTTAATCTGAATGACCTCTCCCCTCTCAATTACTGGATTAGTGAGGGTTTCTAAGAGCTGATTGAGAGTGGAGTTTACTGAGTCATCACACAACTTAAGCAAGTTCCTACCCAGTGGATGGCAGAATTACAGCTATTCAGAATCTCCATTGAACTCAAAATATGTTTTTAATTTGTAAGATTAGGTTGATCTGGAAACAGAACTTATACAGTCCGTGTTGCAAGTGGGCTTGAAGTTACAGTTCTCATGGTATCTCATGTCATTGAATTCAGTACACATCTGTTCTGGTGGCTATTAAAAAGGATTGTTTTTACAAATTGTAAACTGTACCCAGGGCCAGTGTGACAGCACATGCATGCCAGGTGGCCTTCTGTGGTGACATAATTTCAAGGGCTGCAAATTTATGCACCTATTTTTTTGTAAACAATAATTAATTTCTGCTGGTCTTTTATGTATATTGTGAATACTTCTTGACAGTAATCTAAGCATGTTATGCAGCCATCTAAATACAGTACACTGTGACGCTAGTGGTGATTTTTGTTGCAGTGTCTGTAAATTTGATGTTATTAGCTTCTGATTGGGACAAAGTTTTGAGAAACTTAATCTCTTTTTACTGATGATCAGCAGAACTTCTCAATGCCTGGGGCAGCATTTGGGCTTGTTCCAGTCCTTATTGCACCCTTACTTAATTGTGTGTTTTCTGTGTTATAAGTTAATGATTCAGTTACACTATGAACTTTGGAAGTTCTGTGCTGGTGAGTGAGGTGTGAAGATGACAACTGCAAGATGAAATTTGGATATAACACATTTGTAGATATACATCAGTGGTAACCAATTAAAGCCTAGGTTTTTGAGTTTAGTTACTTTGGACTTCAGACTTCTGGCCTACATCAAATTCAGCAGTAGCAAAGGAATACGGGGTGTCCAGATGAAAGGTATCCAAAATAAAATCATTATATCTTAGAAAGAATTTATTATACACATTAATGGGATACACTATTACAAAGGGAAACTATCAAAGTTTTTCTGCATATATAACTGTCTCAATAAATTTAAATGTGGGTTCCTTTGGTGGCACAACAAATATCCAGGCTTGAAGCATGTTTGGTGTTACCATAGCCTCCCTTATGCAGGCTTTCAGGTGTTTAAGGTTGTTGATCTTAACCTGATAGACAATGTTCTTCACATAACCCAACAAGAAAAATCCACTGGGGTTAAATCTTGTGACCTAGGAGGCCAAGCAATTGGTCCACTTCTGGCAATTCAAATCCCAGCCATCTCTCTGTCCAGGTGATTGCTAACGTGGTGGCAAAAATGTGGCAGCGTAAGGGCGTAAGGCAGATATGAAAAAAAAAATTAAGAGTTTTCCTTTGCGATGACATAAACCGGATACATGTATGACAATTAGTTTCTGAGATATAAATGTTTTATTTTGGATACCTTTCAGCTGGACACCCTATACTTTTCTGAGATGAGGGGTGATCCATGAGGTGGCCACATTAAATTTGAATGAAGACAGCTTACTGTGGGCTCCAAGTCACAATTCAGATATTTTAATTTTGCCAGAAGCGAGAGAAGGGCAAGATGTGTAGAGGAGTTTGGCTAATGTTTATATAGATTGCAAAGCAAGAATGTGGCGAAAGCTGCTCTGGAAGAAAGAAATACATTACCCCTTCTTTGGTTCATAAACAAAACACAGTATCATACCAGTATATGTTATAGAGAAACTCTCCTTGTTTTGACCAACTGC